ACCGCTCCCCCGACCAGCCGAGCCGGAGATAACAGCCCCATTGCATGTGAATGTGCTTAAGAGCAGACAAAGGAGCGCCACGACTAAACATAGACGGAGAAAATGACTTGCTCAACAAAAGTCGGCTGCTTCAAAAGGGCTCGGACAAACATGGCGAGCGCGTTGGCAAGATAAGAAGGACATGCAAGGCCACCTCAACAGTGAGCCGAACCACACCGAGTTTTGTTGGATGCGCGGATTAGCACTCATTTAAAAAACATAAAAAACCCACAGGTGAAGTTTTCCAAGTCCCTTTTCCTGAGTGATTCCTTTAAAGCGTGAAATTCTTCTGATGCTGTTGGAAGCTGAACTCCTGAACTTTATCCAAGTTTTTTTTTTTTTTTTGTGTGTGGTGCATGTGAACCTGGCTGCGTAGGTACTTGCAAATTGCACTTGAGCAGAAGTACAAATACTTGTGTATTACAAAAAAAAAAAACAAAACAAAAAAAACATTCTGGGTAAAGGTGAAGTCGAGATTCAACTCTTGTACTTAAGTAAAAGTAATCAAGTCCAAAGTGAAATGTACTTCTGCGTGAAAGCACCAAATGACAAACACTATGATTCTGTCAAAGTAAAAGGCCATCAGAAAAATCAACACTGAAGTTAAGTACAGTTCCAGTAAGCGACTTCAAGGAGAATACCCAAAATATGTCTCGAAGGCCACACTCTACTGTAATAATAATAATAATCATACATTTCATTTATAAGCGCCTTTCAAAACACTCAAGGACACTTTACAATACAATATTTACTGGGCTTGGAACACTGTGCAATCATCCTTCTACTGGGCACTAATAATTATTTCTACAATTCTATTCTTCTGCAATGACTACCGTATTTTACGCACGAAAAGGCGCACCGAAAAGTCTTCCATTTTCTTAAAAGCTCACGGTGCGCGTTAAAATCCGGTGCGCCTTGTGTATGGTCATTATGGTAATAGGTCGACCCCCAAAATGGCTCCTTGCTGGAGACATGCTTACGATGTTATAACTTGTTGTTGGTTCAACGAACTGTGTCGCTGTTTTATTAAATACGTTTTTGTTGCAGCTCCGAAAAAAAGAGAGCTGTGGTGTTGTTGCTTTTTTTTTAATGAAACTATGGAAATTGAAAATAATGCATCAAAACAGAAAATCAAGCAAGGAAATCACAAAATAAATTATGTAGCCCGCCTACAGAATTCATTTTGTGATTTCCTCGTTTGTGAATACACAACAAAGGAATAAATAAACACTTCTGAGACAGTCCAGTCTCCTACATTTTACTGACATCTGATCGTTCTGTTGGTGGTACGCTCAAGGAAATGCCAAAGCGTTTTTCGGAGGCGGTCATGAACGCCTCTCGAGTCGAACGGAAGGAGCGTAACTCCATCTAGTGGATGCATTGTAGATTGCGTTTTATAATCCAGTGCGTCCAATATATGAAAAAAATTACAAAATAGGCCATTCATTGAAGGTGCGCCTCATAATCCAGCGCGCCTTTTAGTGTGGAAAATACGGTATTTATCTTTTGTTGTCAAGATTTCGCGCCGTTTTTTTTCCTTATATTTTTATATTCTTTGTCTATTTAACATACTCCAAATGTTTGGACTTCACAAGGAGCTGCTTTCAATATAATGGCACAAGGGTATCGTGACAAGGAAAAGGCTCGTCTATTCTATTTGGAGCAACCGTGTTATTTTTTCCAAAGCGTTACATCTCAGCCGCCTTCGATGTGAACTGCATCGCATTTCAGAACAGTCAAATTGCCGTGAGCCCCCCCCCCCCACAAAGAGTCTCGTGCTAATCGTTTAAGTACTTCAGGTTTGTCAGTCGCTTGATGATGACAGCGTGTGCCACGTTCGTTGTGGCGTGCGGATGGCGACGTAAGAGCATAAACTGCAGTGAGAGATGCTGCGAGCGCTCTTTAAAAGGTAGCAGATGGCGAGCGAGTCAAGAAAGTCCGCTTCAAGGTTGACTCGTGCACTTCTTATCGCATTTATTGAAGTGGCAAAAGCGGCGACGGCGGGCCGGCCAAATGGCTAACTCGCTTCATCGCGTTCAAGCATCTAATCATCCCGCAGCTCCAGCTGCTGGAGAAATCCTCTGCGCATGACTGAGCGGAGCGGCGTGATCTCCGGGAAGAAAAATGGCTGCGACCCATCACGGCAAGCGAGGTCTCGCACGACGGCGGCTTGACAAGGACAACAAGGTTCCAGCTGCGCGTGTTGAAAAGGACCTTGGGGATGCGTGCGCGAGCTCAGATTTAACGTCACTCTCGTAAAGATGTTCCTCACCGTTAAATCCGGCGGCAAAAACGTTGAGTAATTGCTATGTGATGTGTTTGGAATCCACACAGCCCACTTCTTTTGCTCCTCGCAATTACAGGGCCAATTAGACATTTGCAATTAAAACCGGAGATGGGTCTATTTGATTGGACCCTTCCGGCAAATTCTCGGCAACCTTTTATTGACACTTCCTTGGTGGCCTTTTGCGTGACAATTGAAGGCCACGACACATTTTGCTAATACGGCAACCGACACCATCTGTCGCTGGGATACAGTCAGCAAGCAACACTGTTCTGTTTCATGCTTTTTACATGCCGATCTTCATTCACTGCACGAACTGGGTCATCTTTTCTCAAGATCTCCACACACAGTTTCTATTATCTTCTACGATCTTTATCTCCTTTATAATCTAGATGACGTGCCGAGATTGATACCTTAATCTTTTTACTCAAAAGCTGGAAAAAAAAATTAAAACGTACCTGCTGAATATATATGTGGATGGCAGCAGTGTGTGGAAATAGAAGTTGCGTGACGATTTATAATGACCAAAAGTCCGATGCTAATTTCAATTAGCCTGTCCGTGGTGTTTCGCATTATATGCTAGCATTAAGCAAGCAGACTTTTGTTATTAAGTGGTTGGGTTGAACATCCATCCATCCATTTTTCGATCGGCTTCATCCTCACAAGGGTCGCGGGGGGTGCTGGAGCCTATCCCAGTTGTCTTCGGGCTGTAGGCGGGGGACACCCTGAACCGGTTGCTAGCCAATTGCAAGGCACACAGAGACGAACAACCATCCACGCTAACACTCACACCTTGGGACAATTTAGAGTGTTCAATAAGCCTGCCATGCATGTTTTTGGAATGTGGGAGGAAAGCGGAGTACCCGGAGAAAACCCACGCAGGGCCGGGGAGAACATGCAAACTCCACACAAGGAGGGCGGAGCTGGAATTGAACCCCGTACCTCTGCACTGTGAGGTAGACATGCTAACCACTGGACCACCGGGCCACCTAGGTTGAAAATGTGTGTGTGTGGGGGGGGGGGGAAAAATTGCTTAAAAATCTGCACTATCGTTGGGGTTGACTGTACTTGATTGGACCGTCTGGCAAATTCTCTGCAGTCTTTTCTTGACACTTCCCCGGGTATTAATGTGATTGCCCTTTCAGCTTCAGGAAGTCTTTTTAACAAGACGGCGCACTCAAGTGGTGCGGCGTTTGGACAAGGGTGGGGTGGGGGTGTGTTGAACTCTGGGGAGGCTTGTTGAGGGGGGCGACCCAAGAGGAACTTCCGAGGTTCAGCCGAGTCGGCGGCGAATGTAAACATTTGAACAATTAATGGCCGTTTGTTTGAGCGAGCCGAGCGGCGCAGCGGATGGTCGGCGTTGGCAAGGGAGCGGGCTGGGGTGGGGGTGTTTGGGGTATGTTTCTGCATGAATGCCGCCGCCTCATTTTGAGCTGACATGACTATCTGCTGAAGAGTGGATGCGAATGCATATTAAGCTGCCGGGGAGAGCTGACAAAGGGGGAAAACGTCCGCGCGCGGTCGCAGGTGTGTCCACATCGCAGCCAACTGAGCGGCAACAGAAATTGCCTGAGAGATGGCGGCCGATGGCAAGGAGACAGGAGAGAATAGGTCAGGGGATGTTATTGTGCTTATGGAAGCGTGGCAAACATGGAGATAAAGGGCACGCGCGCGGTGAAGGGCCACCAGGCGGGATTAATTGCCCCTGGCAGACGAGGACGTGGGCAATAATTACCCCACGTCGGCGACATGGAGCGCTATTGTAATTGTGAGGCCGCCACGTTAAAGAACTCGCGAGCTTGGTGGGAGGCCAGGGTCATTAAACCGGTCTGAGGGAAACACTCATTCATTACCTTGTACACTTAACCTGCCTTGCACTCCGTGTTTTATACTGTGGTGAAGGGTCGTAGATAGCAAAGGCCTTCTCTGCCGCCCTAAACAATATCAGATGCAGTGACCTGTTCAAATTTACTTTTTTTTTCTTTCTGAAATCGATCTATCGCACAATAAAAATACAGAAAGATTAATTGAGTAATGGAATCATTAAGATTACACTTTATTATAGTTCATCATATTCGACAAATAAATCAATTGCCATTTTATATTTTATTATTTAAAAAAAATATTTAACACATTTTAACTTTTTTTTTTAATAAATTAATCTGGCCCATCTGTTTTCAAATTCAAATGTTAGTAGTGTTTCTCTCGGCTGCACTGCTTCCAGTACATTTGGATGTAAAAATTGTATTTATTTAATTTTGCCCAATCAGAATCACGCCTCAACGTGGTGTCAAGTGAATTCAATCTGCTAAATCGTGCTGGCATGTGTAACTTCAGTGCTAAGCTCAGCCTCGGGGGGCCACATCCGCCCCACCACATCATTTTATGTGGCCCGCAAAAGCAAATCTTGTGCAGCAACTTCTATTCTTCTTGCTAAAACCTCCCCAAACTTCTAATTTTCATTCGTACCAAATAAAATGCTTCAGATATTGCAGCATTTTTTTTACAGTCACTTGAGAATCTATTGTCTGCAACTAAATGATTTTAAAAGGAGTTATTCATCAATTTCTTGTGTATATGGAATAATATAATCTCGTTTCACAGTCAAAATGGCCCTCTGATGGAAACCGATACTACAATGTGGCCCGCAACAAAAATGAATCATGAACCAATCACATTTCCAACTTGTCCACACAGGGTCAGAACGCTGGTCCTTGATCTATCAGCATTTTTTTTTCTTCCTCTTCATCTGTAGCAACATTCACATTTAACACATTGAATAATCAGCTCCATTGTGACATGATGGTGGTGGTTTTAAGAGATGGCTTAAGTTCAAACTGAAGGCCCGGGTACCAAATGCACGGAACGCCACTGGTTTTGTCACAATCAGCCTTTGCCAAAGCATCATCTGGCTGATTAGCTCTCATTCTACGTGTGCGATGCCAACTCGAAAGAGCCAACAGACGCGCAGCACAAAAATAAATTCGGTTCACTTCGGACATGCCTTTTACCTGATTTTCCACCCTGGAATTGGCAGCTCTGTCTCAAAAAAACAGGAGAACAAACACTCAGTCCGCCAGTCCGCAGTCGAGTGCGATAAAGCTGGTGAACGGGTAAGCAGATGGAGAGCAAACCCTGTGGCCAATTTTTAAAATCGCCAAAACAAAGACTCCACACGTTGGCTATTTATGCTTGAAACAAAGTTACAAGGCCAACACGAGCTAGAAGCGTCTCGGCCAAGAGGACGCAAAAGAATGTCCTGTTTGGATGGCAATCGGGGGGAGGGAAAAAAATGGATGGCATCGCGCACCTAAATATTCCATTTTCAACTCCATTAGGTCTCCCACACAGTGTTGTGCTTCTGGCCACCTCATATGATTAATCACGTGTTCAAGCCAAGCAGCCTGAACGACACCCAGCTGAAACTCAACGATGACCATGGGAACGCATTGGTAAAACACAAACAGCACACCATGTGGGGTTTTGCCTTCCTCGTGGAAGCAAAAACAAAATATGTTCTACTTTGAGGATCATTACCAATGTATTTTGCTAGTCTGTAACAAGTTTTGCTCTGACCAATCAACCAGAGGATCTGCGCCCTCGCCCGGTGTTTGGTTAATGAAACAGTCCCACTGGTAATGCGGATCGGAAAATGGATGGATGGATGGATGGATAAACAAACATCCAACATACACGCACTATTAGCAGTGCGGCGAACACAAACACGATGAAATGAGTCGAAGACTACAGGGAATAAAGTAATCCATACATATTAAAGGAACTAATACAGAGGTGCCCTGAGATATGACTTTAATTAGTTCAGTGACCCATCTCCAAACACTCAAGTTATCCTTCCCCACTGAAGAGAATGGAAATGCCAGTAATCGGTTCTTACATCTCCCCAAATACAACAAAAATGTTGTGGCTTGTTTTTTAATAAGGAAAATCTCACTATATAATATTGTACTTCATAAAGCACAAAGGAAGAACAGAAAAAAAAAGAGAGCAAAGAATTAAACAATATGCACATCACAATTAAATGTACAACCTGTAATTCTCTGCTTTGTTTAAAGTGATATATCATCAAGACATATGCTGGAAGTTGCTTAGGGAATTTCCTATTCTGTGTTAGAATAAAGCTAGTGCACTTTGAAGCTATGTGTTGTTTTATTTACACGACATGTAATTTTCTTGGTTTTATGTTTAACCCTTTCAGGGACAGCGGTGACTACAGTGGATAGACTATCATGTTATCAGGTTACAGGGGGCATGAAAGGGTTGATTTTAGTGTAAAATTAAGCGGGAGTGGTATCTTGATGTTCTGGTCACAAGTCACCCCCAAAAAAGTCAAAGGAAGACTCACATCTTGAAAATATTCCAGGCATCTACCGCCTTGCTTCTCGCCTTTGGCACAGATCAAATTTGAAGGCGTGACCTTCGACCACACCCATGGAGGCGGAAAATGGGTAAGCAGCATCAGTACGGAGAAGTGGGGAAACAACAGACCCTCACAATCGCAATTCAGTGTGAGGAATGCATGATGCGCCTCGGCAAGCCAATGGCGGGGGTTGTTGCTAAATGTGACAAGAAGGATGAGTCACCATCCCCTTTTCACACCGGTCTGATTAAAGGTCACTCTAAAAGCAAGCCCAGCACACTCAAAGTGTTGTGCTGTTACTCTTAGTGCAAAGTGAAGTGCCTGCAGATGAGACCCTGCGGACACAGCAAAGCGATGAAATCCAAGATGGAGACACATCAACAAGGGGGGCAAAGACCAAAAGGAGTTGGCTCTGGGACCAAAGGGTTGAGGGTGCACAGTGTGACTGCCTGATGCAGAGTCGTTAATAAACTTCCTGAGCACTGACTGGGCACTCAAAGTGCCTCTAAGGTAAAACATTCTGAGCCGGAGTGTGATGCGAGCAGCACGACCGCACACACACAGCGTGTAAAGGGGGTACAGTGTACAATCGGTTACAATTTGGAGGCATTACCTTTAAAGGGTTTTTACATTATACAGGCAAGTCGGAATTTAGAGTTACATGTCATGCGGCACGAGCGAGAAGAGGCAGAGAAGGTCCCCACCTAAACTCTAGTAATATTCTTTGTTCCCAATGAGCAGAAAGAATGTCTGTGAACGTTTGTATATTTTCTTTTTGTATGCGTTGCTGCGCCAGGTGACTTAACAAGAAGCAGTTGTTTGAAGATTTATCATTATTGCTAACATCTATGCTAATTTCCACAAGCCTGTTTATGGTTTTTCACATTCTAAGGTAGCATGAAGGTAATACGCCTTTCTTAGATGAAATGATATGTTGTGGTTGAACATTCCGGGGTTTAAGTATGGAATGTTTTGGTTTGTGAGTCAGTTTTACAGTCAACTTGACACTGGGAGTAACAAATAAAACAAAATGATTGAAGCCAACTGTTTTGCCTTTTACGTGAAGGACCGTGAGCCTCTTCAGAAAACCAATTCTCTAAACTTTAAGAGCACCTTACCTTAAACTTCCTGGAATAGGGCAATAGTTCAAGGCAAAATGGAAAAACATATTTTTCTTCTCATCCTAGAATAAAAATAAACATTTACACACGGGCATTTTTGACTTGAGAATGAGGCACTCAGCTGTTAACTGAGCACAAAGTTGAAATATTTTTTTTCCCCAATACGCGCACCTGCTGTCTTTTCAGAAAGGTTCATTCTATATTACTGCGAATAGCTGCACAACCACTCTCCTGTGAAGAGCAACAATTAACTCTTGAAAAACATGTTTTCACCCAGATACACGACAGAAGTCAAAATAACCTCTCTCTCTTGGGAGTTCAAATTTCGTTCATTGTGCTAGATATGTAATTCCCCCATTTTGGAGTCACGAACCTCAAATCCAGGTTTGTAGTTGGAAAAGACAGCAGTTGTTTTAAATCAAGCATCTGAGATTTGAACCCAGAAGCTGAAAACTGCGAGTTAGATGCGCTAATCTCCAGTCCAGTGCGCTTCCCGCCCTTTTAAAATGTTGCGTTAAATTCCACCCATCTGCCCAGGAAAGTCTCAGGGCTGCTGTGGAAGCGTGCAGTGGGCAGGCTGCAGCGGCACACAGCATGAAGACAGCCTGCAGTGAGTGAAGAGGAGGCGCTCTAATTAAACTTGTATCATCTGCCTGCTGCTCTAAATGCGGCTACAGGCTACGAGCATGTCTCGCTCCACTTCCTCGCCCGCCTCATTTGAAGATGGGGAGGCCTGCTCCTTGACAATGCTGCTAATCTACACAAAAGGAAAGGGGGGGGGGGGGAATCTAATTATTGCAAATGCACGGCGCCCAAGAAAAAAAATTCACTTGTGGCCACAATATAGATTAAAATGTGCACAAAATGCCAATTTGTGGCCTTGAAAAACTCATTAATGGCCATGGAGTAGCCTCGGGTTCACCAGTAGAATGACTGAATAATGTGTTTTTTTTTCTATCACTACAAGTCATTTAAACTGGTCCTCTGAAGTGTCTTACTACCACAAAAGCTTGTTTATTATTTTTTTAAAATCCTGAATTGTAGGATTAATTCACAATCCAAATTAATTAGTAATCCAAATGATAAAGAAAAAGATTGATTAATTGTTTCGAAACTAAAAAGCTGTTCATGAAAAGAGAATGTGGTTTACAATATGGATTCTTCAAAATGGCAGATAACAGCTTTGCACATTCGGGTTAGTTTCTCAGTCTGCTTGATGACGTGGTTGATGCTTCATGACCCGGAATGACATTCACTTCCCAGCTGTGCGTTATCAAGAGTTAACCGCTTGAACGTCTTGACCTCTTGATGTGTTTGAGATCATACGAATTTGAAAGCGTTCCCAAACTTTTGACCGATACTGTACTGGAAATGTAATCATCGCCAACAATACTCTGTGGCTCTTGGTAAAAATCTGTCGAAATGCTCTAAAAACAGTTAGCAGCGAATGAGTTAAAGGGAGCTCCTCCACCGCTGTTTGGCTCAAGATGTAAATTTGGAAAAGTGACTCTAATGTCAGTGCCTCAGCAGTCATAAAGCCCACCACATGTGATTAGGGTAAATACTGCAACGGGTTGCCGCACGGCTCCTCCGTGTCAACTTCCCACAGCTGAGGGGGAGGAGGGAGAGGGGGGCAAGCTCAGGTGGGAGGTCCTCAGCGGAGCACGTAACCCGCTTACAAATGAACATCGTGCCGGGGCCAAACTCACGCGCTGTGCACATCACTTTCTGTTTTTTTTTTTTCGCCCCCTTCTCGTTTCTTTTTTTTTTTTTTTCGTTGTGGGAGGCGTTGCGCATCGCCGCCGAGGCTACGCTCCCCCTTCTTCTATTCCTTCCTTTCATTCTGCTCCACTTCGGACGCATCTGGCTCGGCGGCTCTGCTCGGCTTCGCTGGCCCACTTGGCGAAGCGACACTGCAGCGTGGTGATCGGATCAGTCTCCTCCCGGATCCCCCGCAAAACCATCTGCCATGCCGGATCTGCATCGGGGGAGCTGCTCCTCTCGCTCTTCTTCTTCCTCTTCTTCTTGTGATAAACTCCACTCGTTTGTGGCACAATCTCACTGCCAGGCTCGACATGCAGCCCGGACCGTGAGCCTCCATCAGCGGGCTTATCAGCGGCAATAAACAAAAAGACACTTTTTTTGGTCACGGACAGCGCCTCTGGCTCTCCGGACGAGTCGACGCCGCCGCGGACTGCTGTAAATCAAGCCCCGGAGCATCGGAGTGAGCAGCGGGGTGCAAAGACGAATGATTCGGGTAACTCAATCTTTTTCCACTTTCCTATCAGCCACGCAAGGCTGTTTTCTGCTAATGGCCGGGCCGGGGCGCACTTGAAACAGGTGTCATTAAGACATTGCTCAATTGGTGATCGTGATGGAATGGGGGAGGAGTGGGGGGGGAGCACATTTTACACGTTAAGTGCTCCAAACAGCTCCCCAAAGGGACGCTACCTGAGAAGTCAACAGATGTTTTGTACTCGCATGCAGCGGATTGATGGAAGTGATGTCTCGTCAAGCAAGGATTAACCTCTTGCTTGGGCACTAATGAATTAGTTTGCCATCATGACACACATTGTCCTAGAAAGTGAAGAACAATCTAGTCTGTGTGGAGAACACAATATACAAGCCAAGAATGGCACTGACCTCCGCTAAGGCTAAAAAAAAAACCCTTGCAGTGAATCCCTGTATATTTGTGGTTCCGCATTCGCTAGTTCACCTCGTTGTGGAGGAAAGGGACCGATTGAGGCCCGTTGTGAAAGTGAAAAATGTGCAAGTAATTGGCACTCTTCCCTAAAGCTGGTTATGATTGCTTACAAGATGGTAGCAAAGCAAAATAAAGCTCCTCAATTCACTTCAAAGTAAATTTTGACACGAGGGTGCCACAAAATGTTGCCGAGGTAATACTTTTATTAAAGTGAAACTCTTCAACGCACTTCAACATTACTCCTTAGAATCAGGACCAGGCCACAAGATTGTACCAAAGCACTACTTTTGCAATTGAAACTTCTCAAACCACTTTTCCATCATTCCTTGGCAACAAGATGCCGCAGGATGGCGCCAAATTAATACTTTTGTCAAAATGAAATTGCTCAACTGAAATTAACCCCGTTCTTTGGTACCATAATGCCACAAGAGTGCGCCAAATCGCTACTTTTGTTGAATGAAGCTCCTCAATCCATTTCAACATCGTTCCCCAGCATGAAACGCTTCAATATCATTCCTTGGCACTAAGATGCCACAAGATTGCTCGTACAGGTCCTACTTTTGCCCAAATAAAATTCCCCAATTCACTTCAACACAGTTCTGAGATACGAAGAACAAGATTGCCCTAAGTGCAACTTTGATCAAACTATCCATCCATCCACCCATCCATCTTCCGATCAGCTTATCCTCACAAGGGTCGCGGGGGTGCTGGAGCCTATCCCAGCTGTCTTCGGTAATGTAGGTAAACAACCAAATAATGAAACTGTATTAAAATAAACAATATCCGATTTATTATACATTCTGCTACCAAACAAGTACGGCGTAAGCAGTCATAAATCAGATGACAACAACAATGCAAACAAAATGTGTGGCTTTATCACTTCAACTTTGCATGTTCCACTTAAACAATGATATGAAGATATGGACTGCACTTCTCAAGTTCTCAACTTATCTTGACACAATGGAAAAAACAAAATATATGAATATTTTATTATTTCTATCATGTTTTGAAGAGCAATGTATGAACATTGCCCTCCATAACTTTTGGCACTCCTGGTTAAGATAAGATCTTTAGCTTCTTGGGGTTATTTTTTTCCCCCCCCGAATACTGGACCTTTTTTTTTTTGTACAACTCCCAATCTTCCAACAAAACAGCACCTAATCTTCTCCCATCTTGTTTCACAAGATGGGAGAATTATGGGAGAATTCAGAAAGAGGCATCTTCGACCATTCCTCTTAAGTTTGCACAATCTTTCAAACTTATCCAGTCCTCTCCTCTGGACTCTCCTCTTTAGCCCGCTCCACAGGGTTTCGATGGGGTTGAGGTCTGGGGACTGAGATGGCCATGGCAAGAGCTTGATTTTGTGTCTGGTGAAGCATTTCTACAATTTTCAGTCTTTAAGAATATGCTTCTTCCAAAAAAACTGAATTCACTTTCAGGATTTTAACACATCTTAACCAGAGGTGGCACTAATTATGGAGGACGCTGTACATATATATCAAGTCAGGCGGGATAGGCTCTTCATTAAGTGACCGTATTAAAGATCAGCACTTTAGAAAATGGACGAATGGAACTGCAGTTCAGGGACTTTGTATGGGTCTGTCATGGTGAAGAAGGAGCTGAGCCAAAAGGCGATTCTCTCAATTTACCGGTCAATCTACGTTCCAACCGTCACCTATAGTCACGAGCCATGGGTCGTGACCGAAAGAACGAGATTCCCGATACAAGTGGCCAAAATGACTTTTCTCCGCAGGGTGTCGGGGCTCTCCCTTAGAGATAAGGTGAGAAGCTCGGTCATCCGGGAGGGGTTCAGAGTAGAGCCGCTTCTCCTCCACGTCGAGAGGAGCCAGATGAGGTGGCTCGGGCATCTGATTAGGATGTCTCCTGGGCGCCTCCCTGGTGAGGTCTTCCGGGCATGTCCCGCCAGCAGGAGGCCCCGGGGACGAACCAGGACACGCTGGAGAGACTGTCACCCAGCTGGCCTGGGAACGCCTCAGGATTCCCCAGGAAGAGCTGGAAGAAGTGGCTGGGGAGAGGGAAGTCTGGGCCTCCCTGCTAAAGCTGGGGCCCCCCCGCGACCCGACCCCGGATAAGCGGTAGAAAATGGATGGATGGATGGATGCAACTGCAGTTCATGAATTATGCGAAACGTAGTAAAATGCAGGAAAATGTCTCTTTTGTGGTTGCAAGAGAAAAGAGCAACAAGAGCCCAATAATCACCCGCCCTCCCACTTCCCACCTCAAATCGGCCTCAACGCCATTACTCATGCTTAAAGCAAAATTGGTTGCCTCACCTTGTCAATGGTGCTGTCACCGAGCAGACAAGGAGGAGGGGTCGCCTGTGATGAATTGGCTCGTGATTGATGAGCGTGGTGGACAGGTGGGCCATCACAACACAACACACAACAAAGTGCACAGCGTTGACGCGCCACCTCAATACAAACACCGTCAGTCATGTGGGAGATTTCTGAATAACTGAAGAGGCAACGCAACAAAAACAACCAAAAAAAAAAAAAAAAACAAAACATAAAACCTCCGCCTGCCATCTTGCAGATTATCAGGTTTGCACGCCCAGAGGGCGACATTTCAAATTCATCCAATTTGAGGCTGGCGATAATCAAGTTTCAGAGGCTGACGAAACAAAAGGGCTTGAAGACAATCAGATATGAGGAAAACGCTGGCGTGATCTGCGCGTGTCGTCCACACACTCGGCCTACGAGAAGATTAAACGCTTCTCCTCGCTTTGATTCACACGACTCCCGAAAAAAAAAGGCTGTGATACATTCCAACGCCGCCTGTGATGAATATATTCACATTCATCCGCGCCAAGCTGAAAAAGGCGCCTTCATTTAAGCACGTGGAAGTCACTTCCTATCTGCGTTGGTGTCTTTTTTCCCCAACCCCCCTCTCCCTTGGAGATTATTTATGAACTATTAACATCATGCAGTAACACTTTATTAGGCAGAAAGCCAAGAGGCCTATTCATCTTTCACTTGGAGTCATATGCTAATTTTCATACTCGCACGCAGAGGTTCTCGAACCCCCCCCCTTTTTTTTTTAACTCAGTGGAGTTTCTCAGTTATCTTCAATGTGTCAGATGGTGCAGAGGAGACAGCAAAGGCCATTTTTACTGTTTTAGGGAGGGTAGGAGGGAGGGAGGGAGCAAGCGAGGGAGCATCCACCACTGGAAAATATTAATGCTGTGAAACCCACTGTGTCATAGTTGACCTCTCATGCCCTCGCTATATTTAAGCGACTCAGAGTACAATACAAATCCATACTCTGTTGGAGTGTGAGGTGTCTAAAATTGTCCGACTTCCAACAAGTTGGCATTTCTCTCCCTCGTATCCGACATGACAAGCTGAAATTCCAATTTCAGTTTCTTTTCGTCCTTTTATTTTTTATAAGTATTTATTTATAAATAAATAAATAAATACTTTGTTTTTCTACTTTCTTTCAAAATGTTGCTGCTGCAAATTGCGGATTTCTCCATTGTGAGACAAATAAAGATTTTCTTATCTTAATCTTTATCTTCTACTTAAAAGCCGTGTTGATCTCAAGTCAAAAGCGACACAAGGCCGCCATCTACAGGGATCTGTTCAGCATTACAATTGTTTACAAAGCTGAATTTCATAGACAAGCTGGGCGAGATCCTTCTCCACAGCGACCCATTGAAAAATGTACTTGATGAATATATGCCTTAGTGGCAATGGCCGGTTGGATGACAGCTGATGAATATAAACCGTGGCACTAAATGAATTAAGAGCAAGAAGAAGAAGCAGAGAAGGTCCCTGACTAAGCTGCAGTAATAGTCGCTGTTTCTACAGGGCAGAGAGAGAAAAAAGGCCTCTAAGTATTGTTGTATGCTCTATTTGGATGTGTTGCTGCTGCTTGAAGGTTTAGAATTACCATCGATGGTAATTTCCCCATAGCCTACATAATCTACAGCATTCTGCATTATCTGTCAGCATTGAAGTAGTTGGCTTTCATTAGACAGAATTAAAAGGTTTGGTCGACATTTTGAAAATAGAATGCTTCATTTTGTTTTATGTGACGGTTTTACAGAAAATCTTTAACCGGGAGTGACAAATAAATAGCTTTTCCTCTTATTTAGAGGACTTTGCAAGCGAGTCTTCTTTTCATTTCCTGAAAGTAATGGACATGTTACACTCCCAATTTCTTGACCGTGAGAGAATGACAAAAGGCGATAAGGAATGCAGTGAACCTCCGCAAATTTGCAATTATTTTTGGGGGGAATTTATTTTCCATTATTCGGTGAGCTGTTCACCCATTTTGTTGCTGGATTTGTAAACAGCAGTTTTGCATAGGCGTCTTCATGCCAACGTTCAATTGAAGAGATTTGGGAAGCTTCAGTGAGGCAAAAGCGGTCCTCAGTCGCCACCTTGTGGCATCTACAGGCAACTACAGTACAGAATAAACCTTTTTGAGCGGCCCATCAGTTACTCATGGATTTTCGGTAGTCGGGCCAGGACACAGTCCCAAACTCCCTTTTAAATGTGTCAAAGGCATGTGGAAAGCTGAAACTATGAAAAAAATTTTTTTTTCAATATGGTCTCTCTCTCTCTCTCTCTCTCTCTCTCTCTCTCTCTCTCTCTCCCCCTCCGTCTCCATCTCTCAAATTTTCACAAATCATGGTGGTTTCGGGTACGTACCCCCACAATAAACGGGAGTCGACTGTACTCATGGTAGCGTGGTTACTCGGAGGCTTGCGATCTCACTGGATCACGCTCTCCCATCTCCTTCCCAACACGTGTGAGCGGCTAGCCATTCGGCATTATAATCTTATCAATCAGCGTTGAAGGGTTAACACCCTCGGGTGACAGCGCAGTAGTCGGTGTCGCGCCGTATGATAAAGACGCGTGGGGGTAGATCTCACTGTAAAGCCAATGATCATTCCTCATTCTGCAATCAATAGTGAGGTTTATTCTGCGCCGAAGCTGCGAGCCGCGGCGTGTCTGCGAAGGACGGCAAAAGTCATTTGTCGCTGTTCGTTTGGAACGAGAGTGGTTCTGGATGGCAGCAGAAAAGCGAGGTGGCAGAAGTCATCACACTCTGTACTCGAGTAGAAGTACACAGATTTTTGTGTAAAAAAACAGCTTGGTCAAAGTAGAGGTCCTTAATTTTCGGTAAAAAAGTACGGACTGTGATTGAGTAGCAAATGTACTCACACGCTATAATTCTGTACTGAAAATATTAATGTACTTAAATCCATCCATCCATCCATCCATTTTCAAATCTGCTTATCCTCACAAGGGTCGCGTGCGTGCTGGATCCTATCCCAGCTGTCTTCGGGCAGTAGGCGGGGGACACCCTGAACCGGTTGCCAGCCAATCGCAGGGCACACAGAGACAAACAACCATCCGCGCTCACACTCACACCTAGGGACAATTTAGAGTGTTCAATCAGCCTGCCATGCATGTTTTTGGAATGTGGAAGGAAACCGGAATACCCGGAGAAAACCCACACAGGCACGGGGAGAACATGCAAACTCCACACAGGAAGGCCAGAGATGGAATCGAACCCGGCACCTCTGCACTGTGAGGTCGATGCGCTAATCACTCGACCACCGGGCCGTGTACTTAAATGAAAAACACCAAAGGTGACGTACTGCTAAAATCCTGAAGTAAATGAAGAAAAAAAAAAAAAAGTACAGACTGAAACATACTTAAGCATTCATCCATCCACTTTCTGTACCGCGTATCCTCAAAAGTCAAAACGACATTTTACTGTTAGTTGTATAACGTGTCCGTTTTGATAACCTGGGGGGAGTGTACACAAATGAACTCAATCAGTCAAATTGCTCTCAATTTACATTGTTTTGACCTCACATGATCAGCCGCAAAGACTGAAAACCCCTAACAAGGAAATTTCGACTGAGGTGTACAACAGTACTGAAATCTGCTTTCAATTGTAGCAGACGAAAGTCATCAGAAAACCAAATATTCAAGTAAAGTACACATCTACCCAAAGTACAGTAACAATATATTTGTACTTTAGTCCAAACCACCGCTGGCAAAATACGAGCCAAAGCTAGCGTAACAACAGAAGCATCGACACAGCCAAGTGAATCAATTCGGAAGACAGTGAGAGCAAACTGCAGGTGAAACAACAGCTCAGAGTGCTCGCGATATCTCAGAGAAGAAGCAATGAAACCATCTTCACAGCGGTAAACTTTGGCCGAAGATGAAAAGTGCTAGCTTAGATCAGATAACATTGTTGACCATCGGAACAAGCAGCTCTGTTCTCTTTTGCTCTTTGGGTTTGACTGGATGAATCCATACACATTCATACATAATGTGCTTAATACTAACTAATGACAAATCCTAAAAGTGACTGTTGAACGGGTCAAATAGTCAAACCAACAAACACAAAGTGGCACTTCTCTGATTTGGCTACGTTCCGTTCGCTGCGTCACAGTTCACATAGTCATTAACACGGTGAGATGGCGGCTTTAAACAAATACGAACATTTTTGAGCGGAAATGTTCAACACATTTCATATTTAAGACTATCGGCCTGACTCGTTTTGAACCCTATTATCTGGATTAATAGACTCTTAGCACACCTCAGACCGAAAGAGAACCTTACAGAATAAGCTTATAAAACATTTGATATCCTTTGCTCAGAAGGGGCAAAATACAGACCAAAAAAAAAAAAAAAAAAAGCCAGATTGTCTTTATGTGCGTACTCGGCTTTAAATATTAAACATGTTCAAGATTTCTGACCAAAAAATGTGTGTGTGGGGCAATGCCGACATCTCCCAGAGTTTATGATTCTGTGAAGTGTGGAATCGAATGTAGCCAATCAAAGAAACAGCATGACTGAGGAACGAGGAAATGGCCGCAAAAAAAAAGTATTACCGGATGTCCTTTTTTTCTGTATGAAGGTGGATTCCTCAGACAGTAAGAAATACTTTCCAAAGGAAGTGTTTTTTTTTTTTTTGACATTTTACAACCCTACCGCCTGTGGTCCTTTTATTTGATTTTTTTTAAACATTGGCGCGTATCCGGAAGTGTCTGTTGTTCTTACTTTTCGTGAAATCACGTGTGAGATTTATTACTTGGGGGACTTTGTTTTGAGCTTGGTGGTGGAACAGAATCTCTGTTTGTGGTGTTCTGTGTTGAGATAATCGGCGCAGACCACACAAAGTGTGACCAAAATTGTTATTTTTTTCCACGTGTGGGGTCTGTCACAGATAGAACGAAAAATTGGAAAAAAACATATGCGTGGAGCAGGCCTAAGTTGAACTAAAATGACTTTAAATGTGTCTTCCCAGGCATGGTGCCCACGCCCCAGGTGTGCGTCTCCACCCTGGTCACGGTGAGCACAATGGCGGTGGTGGACCTCTACCTGCTGGAGCAAAGCATGCTGGGAGCTCGCGGGCTGCCGGGGCCCAGCGTGTGGCAATGCGTGGCCGTATTGCTGGGCGACGCGGGCTTCCTGCTGGCGCTGCGCTTCGTGTCGGCAGGGGTAGTGTCGGAGGCGCGGTCGCCCCGCCGCGGCTTCGCCAACGCTCTCTGGTTCCTGTTCCTGTCGCTGCTCCAGCTCAAGCTCTTTTTCGTCTGCCACAACTACAGGCAGGAGCGCCGGCCGCCCGACCCGCTCGCCAGGAAGGTCCTGACGCTCCTGCTGTCCATTTGCCTGCCGTCACTCTTCCTGATCCTCACGGGCGCCGACTACATGACGCCGCAGCGCAGGAAGCAGGAAGTGCGGGGTCGCCTGCTGTGGGTGGTGGTGGACCTGCTGGATGTTTTGGATCTGCAGGCCGGGCTGTGGGAGGCCCAAGGAGGGGCGGCGGGACCGGAGCAACGGCTGCCCATCTGGGCCGAGGGCTTGGTTTTCTTTTACTGCTACACTCTCCTGCTTTTGCTACCGTGCGTGGCCCTCACGGAACTGGGGGCCACGGGCCTTCCGGGACAGAGGGGCCCCCGCAAGGAGGCTTTGTACCCTTGGCTCAGCCTGGTCACCATCAATATCTTCACCCTGGGCCTGAGGGGCGCAGGCATGTTGTGGTACAGGGACCCCCGGGTCTCTACGGTGTTCCTGGGCAAGAACCTGCTGGCGTTGGTGGTGAAGCTGAGCTCGGCCTGGGAGAGGCACAACCAGGAGCGCGGTCCAGGGGGCGGCGGGGCACCGCCTGGAGGTCAAGCCGAAGAATCGACCCTGCCGAGTCAGGACTCTGAGCACGGAGAGGGCCAGCCGCAAGGGAAAACTTGCTCAGCTCACATTCACACACTGTCTCACTCGCAAAGCCACACGCTCTCCCACGTGAGCCCGGGACACGGAGGGTCACCCTTGGCACCCTCTTTCATCTCCCCTGAACTCTAAATGCCCTCCCATGTGCGCACAAATGTAAAGTTGTGCATAATCTATGCACAGCCACGGCCAAAACCCTGACAAGCCAAACAGATGGACACAATGGATGCGGTGCTCTGAAGCTTGGATTGATGCACACTTGGATCACTGTGTTTGTTTGGTTCTCAGCATCAACAATGAATCTACTTCATTTTGAAAAGATTGTTCCAAGAATGTATGTTTACATCTTCTCGTGCTCATTTCTCTGTAAATCGTCGCCGTAGGGCCGAAACCTTTTATGTCCAACTATGATCGCCCCCCCCCCCCCACCACAAATAGGTACAATAGGTCTGTCCCTCGCGCCACGACTCAAGACTTTAAAGTCTCAATCACAGGTTTCAAACTCAAGTCCCGGGGGCCAGATTTGGCCCACGCCATCATTTTCTGTTTCCGCAAAAGCAAACCATGCGTGCGAACTTAACTTAACTATAATCCTTGCTAAAATCAGAACCAACATTTCAAATTGTAATGTGTAATTAAAAAAACTAAATTTTTTGCAACCTTTTTTTTTAATTGCAACTTGAACAATAATGAAATGATTATCCTTGACTTCTGATTTGGAAACTAGTAACGCAGTGTTTTGTTGTGTAGATGTAATGATACGATGAGATGATGAAACATTTATTTGGTTTCGTCGTCAAAACAGCCCTCTGAGAGAAGCTGTAAATACAAAACGGTCCACGACAAAAAAGAAGTTTGACACCCCCGGTCTATATTGTGGAGATACAAGGGTTCTGCCTGACAGTGACGATAGGTAGCCTAATAGGATAATTGCCTAAGTCTCCCCCACCTCCCCCAAACATTTTCAGAAAACAATCAAAACAAAACTAACTGACAAAGCACGAAGAGTTGAATGTCTTTAATTCAAACTATGGATTAGGATGAACCGATGGAGGAGAATCTACACAAACAAACAAACAAACAAAATTGAACAAGCAAATTGGAATTTTTTTTTTATTGATGCGCCGATAGTAATTTAAAAATGACTGAGGCAATTATGTTATTAAGATTTGATTTTCTCTGCGTCCCAGTTTTCAAACTTTGAATGCTTTTTAAGCTGTTGTGCATTCACTGTCCGAAGAAAGAAATTGTGTAGGGAAAGGATAAAACCGCTTCAATTAACTTATTTGTCCAACTTAAAATCACATTCAATCTTTGCGGGGAAAAGCCTGGAACTGTGTTTTGCTAAATCACTTTGTATTATTTAGATTAACAAAGTAAATGAAGGTCTTTGGCAAACGGCAGAATGCTCTCATTTTGTTTCTGCCCGTGAGTGGGAGCGTGCATCAGCGTGTTTGATTGATCGGCTAACTACCACACTGCAGAAATTAATCATTGAAGACTGACTTCTCATGCCATCCACACACGACTGTTTTGAAACTCCCCTTTTTTTTCTTTTCTAACACACACAAAATGAGCTTGCTTGCGATATTTATAAGATTGTTTGATTGCAAGTCGGTTCAGGTCATCGGGAAGTGCTTGCTGGCAATATGGTCGCTAAGAATTTATTAGTGAGAAATCAAAGCAAAAGCGAGATACAGTCAAACCTCTTTTTCAACGTACACCGTTTAAAACGTTTTCACCCGTATAATATTCACATTTCAAAGTCCCGATTTCACATCATTCATTTTCCATTTGCCGATTTTGCTCGCAACGAACATTTTTAGAACGTCGACTTCAGTGTAATGACCAGATTTGTCTCACAAAATAGTGAAAAGGCCTTCGTTTACGACGAATGGTGGGAAGCCAACTGCCGCCACGATCTGGCTTATGACCAAAATGTAAAGCGCTGCATTCCACTCCGTTGCTTAGCAACGCTACTGATTGACTCGTACAATGCTGTACTTTCAGAAAAATGGCGCGGTCCTGATCACATGGTATGAAAACAAGGCTGAAATTGTCTCTCACTTTTGAAAGGGAGTCCATCAGACGAAGCTCAGCCGGCAAAGGCGACAATTTCGACAATCATTCGTAATGGCAGCAAAATCATGGCAGAGTTCGAGGCCAACAGATGGAAAGATGATCGTAAACGGCTTCGGGGTGCGGCACATCCTGAACTGGAGAAGGCACTTTTCATTTGCTGACGGAATGTTTTGTTTCGTGTCTTTTAAAATCCATTTTTTCTTCAAACTGTATACACGTATTTGTAATTGACATGTTTATACTGTATTACATGTTCATGTTTTTACATCTATAAATGTTCATACTGTATTATACCTCGTAGTTGGCGTTCATTTTATTGGAAATGGTTACATCGAACTACCGTTATAACGTAAAGATTCGTTCTGTCCCTCGAGGCGCGTTGTAAGGAGGTTCGACTAGCTTGATAAGAGGCTGAGCATTTATGATAAATTTCCCCCGAAATTTAAAATGAGGAATTTTGGAAACATGAATAATTTTGGAAACTGGCTGGAAATCGGGCTCTCCTTGCCCACATGCAAGGGCATTTCCCTACCTCGACTCATTCACTGGCAAGCCAGTTCCAAAGCAGTTCCCCATATTGCTGACCGTTTTAGAGCATTTTGACCCACAAGCTATGTTCAATCAAAAGATAAGCACCGAAACACACTTAAAAATGAGTAGATTTGTCTTTCACCAGAGAAAAGTTACTTTGTAGAGTTTTCCGTTCTTCAGTAACCGAACATTACAACATTGGGTGGTTGTACAAAGAAAAAAAAAGTGGTTTCTGACCAAAAAGCGGCAAAAAATAGCTTTTTGGAAAAACACGTCAAGCAGAACGTTGAACTTGACACAAATATATGTTTTGCTTTTGTGACACCGCAAACTATAAAACAACAAAAACAAAGAGAAAGGGCTTTGTAATGGCTAAATTATAATGTATTTACAGATAAACAGTATAACGATGAAGTGCACTGTGACCTTAGCTCACTGCACGGCTTGAGTTGAATGACAGTGGCTTTTTTACATGTCCTTCGCCATTTGCTCCACGAGCTGTGTCATCACGTCACATACTTCTTATACCACACATGTACAGTCTGTTTAATATATAATCTATAATCGACGTGACAAGCCGAAGTTCACCACCATATCGTTGTTTTCAACTCAAAAGCTGTGCTGGTCTCTAACCCAAAGTGATGCAACACTGCCATCTATTGGGATCTGTTAGTCATTAGAGTGGTTTACAAATCTGAATTCCATCGATAAGCTCGGCAAGACCGTCTTCCGCGCCTACCTGTTGAAAAAAAAGTTGGGATAGGAACGGTTTGGATTCCAGTTGACGAACAGAAAGGCCCACGGAGGTGAATGAGTTCGTTGCTCCTTTTTTGGTTCACTGGAGTGCCAATGTATCTTAAACTTGCTCGTATCTCAAATTTTGGTTGGAACATGAAGCCAAAAAATTGATGAAGCGACAGTCATTAAACGGCTTTGAATTAAGTATTTACTCATTCACAAGAGAGACTTTTATGCTTCATTGACAGCAACATTATCACAATGGGATTATTTATTACAATTTTTTTTTCTTTCTATTGGGACTTTGTTGCATTTCAGTTTACAGCTACATGATGATTGGCAAATAGACGTAAATATTGCTTTGGGGTCATCTTGCTGTTGAGGCTTTCCAGAAATGCTTTGCTGATACTGTATCTATAGGCAATTATAAACCTTTTTGGAGGAGGTGTCAATCACTCACAATCATGACTCAACTGCGGGGTTGTAATTTTTGCTTCACAGAGCATTATGGCTCACAGCAGTAGGCGTACACCAACATCAGTACAGTGAAGCGGGCCCGGACGGGGGAAGATTGTCGGTGGTTAAGAAGTTCACGGCCATCGTGGGCTCCACGCCTCCAAGACAGAATGAAACATGACAAAAATAACATTTTTTCATGCTCGCCTTGGCACCTCGTGGAGCATGATGCGGGCACATATTGACAACCTGTCATCCCCACAAATACAGGAGGCACTGGAAAATAATTCAAGGCCAATACAACCTTCAAGACCAATAACGGCCTACTGACTTGCACATCCTGAGCTCTATTATAAAGTCAATCAGACTCCATTTGATGGCGCACACAAACACCTACACACACGTAGATACGGGATACCGGGACTCGCACAAACAGGCACACGCATGGACATGGATGTGCACGCACGCGCACAGTAGCCAACAGTCCGACACACATTTGCACATGTGGTTGCGGCATACACGGTCACATATGGACACAAACAAACTCACGCACACGGGCAAACAACAAAATGGAAGGGATGCATGGATCACACATGAAACCGCAGATAGACGCACATATGCACACAAGCAAACGTGATCACAGACACACACACACACACACACACACACACACACACACACACACACACACACACACACACACACACACACACACGAACATATTGACAGACGCGCTCAGGCAAATTAACAGCAACTCTCTCAAACACACACACATAGACAAACGTAACAAACACAGACATACAAACATGGACAGACATGATGAACACAGACACAAAAAGACACACGCACGCGCATACAGCGACACGCATGAACACAAGAGCATACACTCAGGAGAGAGTAAATTGATGGCATTTAAATACAACATGCCAGAAAAAGCCGGCTGTATTTCCCCAGCAAAATGTCACGCTAACAAAAAGCCGCCATTCATCACAATTACGCCGGTGAATCCTCGAGCGTGCTGGCGTGCTCGCGCTTTTATGCTAAAGGCTGCAGACAAAAGTCTTGACGCGTTCGGTGTCAAGTGTTGTTCTCACGCACGGACCTGAGTGCACTGCCGGCACCTCTTCAAGACTTTAATGGTCCCATTAGATTCAACTGGGGCCATTTGTCACAATACGGGCCTTTATTGTCTCACCACTGCACATAGCACATATTTAGACAAATGAACACACACAACTGCAAAAAGGGGAATTCATTTTGAGCTTCTGCAGCGATTTATACGCTTCAGGGGCAGGGGCAGAACCAAAATGTGTTCAGTGGGGTGGCCAGGGTGACACAAGGACTCACTATGAGGCCACCGTAAGATGACATGCGCACGCGAATGTGTGTAACCTCATCACTCCGGTTGCGAGATCTGCCTTGGCTACAGAGGGCACATGGCTAAGAAGTCATTCTTAACGCTTTCATGCACCCTGTAAGCTGATAACATGATAAGCAGTCCACTGTAGTAACCACTGTCCCTGAAAGGGTTAATCATACCATATGGTGGCCGAGCAAAAGTGCCTGAGAAGCCAGAACTGGCCCCCAGGCCTGGAGTTTGACATATGTGCACCTTTGAAGTTTCAGTCGTGTTCACATGGCAAGATTTGAAAATTGTCCTCCGACTTCCAAATTTCGAGAGATTCCCACACGTGATGAGAAAAAAAAAAAAATCACGGGTTTGGAACGTACCGTATGCGTAATGTGCGGTCACAGCGCAAGATCAACACATCACATACGGACCAATCCGTTCACGGATATTCTCATGTCGGATGGAAAATCTCGCAAAACCACTCAAGATTAAACGTGACTTCCGAGTAAATAAACATAACGGACGAAAAAGGCAGCAAGTGTCTCAAATTGCGCTTGTTTGTGGATTCTTTTTTGCAGAAAAAAAAAACAAGCAGCACGAAAAGAAAAGACGTTGGTCTTAAGGGTGGAGACAGTCCAAACACGGACTTTACCAGCTAGAGCGTGATGTTTTTTTTTTTCCCCTCTTCGAAATATTGTCAAAAGTATAAACATCAACTCTCATCAACCCCGTCTGGTTTCATCGAGCTCGCTCTCCGTTTCAAATGCAAATTTTCAAGACACTTTTCATCTTACATTTGTCATATGCCTTCCGCCTCGGATAACGTTATGCTTTTCTTTTCCACAATAGCAGCTACCTTTTCAAATCGGTCGTGCCTGCTAACCTCTGGATACACTTTTCAGGATTTTCCTTCAGCTCTCTGTAGACTCGCACATTTTCGAGTCCCTTTGTGCTTCCACTCCTTTCCCAGACGCATTTCTCCTTCGTCATCTGCGCTAATTTCAGTCTGGCCTGTAATTGCTCTCCAGAGCCAAAACCGTCAGTTTTTTTTTTTTTTTTTTTGGTCTCCAGCTCCTTTTTATTTTCCTCGTTTGTTTGAATTTGCCTCACAGCGGACATGGCTGCTACATCTATGCACTTCCCCTGTCAGCACAGTGCACATTTGCTCGGATCACCTTTCGCCAAACGCACGTTTTTGTTCTGTGCGTCCGCGCACTCGCAACCGCGTCACCTCATTTTCCTGCCGACGCGAGCGACAGCCACCGTGCGCCTCCCGGCGCTCGTCCACTTTTAAGCGACAGACTGGCGGCCAAATCTTTCATCACGGCGCTCGCCTTCAACACTGCGGAGACGACTTCAAAAGGAGGCAGCGAGCCAGATGGGGACTGATGCAGACAGCTTGGACGCAGAGTAGTGGCAAACGCCTACACACAGTCGGCAAACGCGCATTGACGACAGACAGCGACTGTGCTACTTGGATTGACATATTGAACTCATTCCATGGCAAAGTTGTAACTCCTGTTACTAGTGTATCAAATCAATTTACCCCATTGGAATGAATTGAAATGCTATTAATCTGTTCCAGCCCCCAATAAACCACCCCCCCATTAAAAAAAAATCTTTCATAACAAAAGATAGCTCAATGTTTTCTTATAAAATCATAAATCATATGTAAAAGTATGTTGTATGTGTAAAGGTGCAGCAAACGTATTGTTGTACCTTTAAGGCATGTGGCCAAGCGAGCAAAGACAGACGCTGAAATCACGCTGGCTTCGTCTGAGAGGCTTGGTGTGATTTGTGGCATACAGCTTCTCCTGGCAAGCGTTTTCATTTTTCGGATTAACTTTATGTGATATTCAATAAATGGCATGCAAGGGCATTTCACACAGTTTTCCTTTTTTTTCACAACTGTATTTGTACTCCACAATATGTTAAATTCCTTGGCTGAGGTCATCAGAAGTGACTAAAAAACACTTGAAACTGTTGTATATGTTGGTTGCTCCATGTACAGTACTTTGTATGCAGCGATGGCTGAAAGTGCTCTATAAATACAGTTGAGTTGAGTTGTCAAACTGGAATGTCAAGTATTGAACAATTTCAGCTTTTACTTTTCAACCGACCAGTTTGAGAAGCAAAAGAGAAATTCAATTCAATGGTTTATATGTGATTGACCAAATAAACAGAACAACCTTGAAATATCCCAAAAAGGCGCCTTGAGCTGGAAGTGCCGGGGGGGGGACAATTAAATCCAGAAAACAGGCCAACTTTTACAAGAAAGGTTGACAGCAAAGCAACGTCCACTTTGAAGACACACTTTTAAAAGCACAAAGCGTTTATGTGTACCAGATGGCATAAAATCAACAAGTTTACCCATATATATATATATATCCCCCTTCTCAATAATAAAATTGACTGTGATATTCGTAGTGCCTTGCCACATTCTGCATTCAAAGACAGTCTCTGCAATTGGCAGCATAAAGGTTACAAGGTGCCTACGTGAACAATAGAAAATGAAGCAGTCTTTCCCCCACCTCCCCAGCCCCCCGAGCAAATTAATGAAGACATTGTGTTGAACAAAAGCAAAATTGGCCCACTGGCTCGTAAAATGGAGGTAGATGCATACGGACAGGTGGCGTTTGTGTCTCGGGTGCAGAAACTATGAGGGGAATTTGAGGAAGATTGTGGCACCCACCTGTGTAAAGGAGACCAGAATAAGAATGGGAGTCGGAAGACGAGATGACTGGAATAAGAATGGAAGGAGAGGGTGAAGGCAGAGGGATTCAGATGATTGTCCCATTTTTATTTTTATTGAAAAAACTTTAATGCGATAATTTTAAACCCAGAAGGGAACTTTCATTAGGCTTTTATTGTTAACGTTATTCAGTTTTATGTGACAGGAATGACAGATCACACTTCAAACTTAAAGGACCAAAATGTGCAAGGGAAAAGTCTGATCGTTTATGCCAATTCATCCCCTTGACAAAATATTGGCAAAATATTCTTGTGAAAATAATACATCAAAAAAAAAAAAAAAAAAGATGTGAAAATGGAAAATAACTTATTAAAGATGATAGAGAGTGAATGCAGAGATTTGTTTCAAAATACATTGTACGTGTTGAAGATAGTTGCAAAACAATGTGAGAACTCTGCGATTGGCTGGCAACCGGTTCAGGGTGTCCCCCCGCCTACTGCCCGAAGTCAGCTGGGATAGGCTCCAGCATCCCCCGCGACCCTAGTGAGGATAAAAGTGGTTCAAAAGGCTGGGATAGGCTCCAGCACCCCCCGCGACCCTAGTGAGGATAAAAGTGGTTCGAAAGATGAATGAATGAATGAATGAATGTGAGAACTATGACTTAACCCTTTCAGGGACAGTGGTTACTACAGTGGACAGCTTATCATGTTATCAGGTTACAAGGTGTATGAAAGGGTTAAAAGACCAAGAATTGTGTGGTACCGAATGTTATCAGGTTACAAGGTGTATGAAAGGGTTAAAATACCAAGAATTATGTGGTACCGAATGGAGATAGAATGTTAAACTACCCCCCCCCCATCTCATTTTTCTCGTCGGCTGTGAGTGCGCGCGCCTCATGCAGAGAAAGATGAACAGGTAACAGGTGAACGGGGCGTGGGTTTAACCCATTCGGCTGACACGTCCACAGCATTTGAAAGCGGAGAGAACAGTATTATTTTTCGTTATCTTGATTTTCACTATAGGTCAGAGTGCCAAAATGTGATTTTACAGCGTTGCCTCACGAGACTGAAGTTCAATATTCACGGCCATGCTTAACTTCAGATTGGAACCGATCGTTTTGTATAGGCCGTATTTCGTGTACGTAGTATGACATCGTGCCGCAGCATGGCGGGGAGCAGGGGGATCTACTGGAAGAGACCCTAGAATAAGACATTTACCGTGGTTAACAGTATTCCTCTTTGTTGTTCCCATAAAGCTGGACAAATATATGCCTGTGAGTATTGTTGTTTGCTTTTTTTGTATGTTTGGAGCGCTACAGTTTACAATGGCCATAACAACCATGCTAATTCCCGCTAGCCCATTATGTTCGCATTCTGTTAAACAAATCATTTGGTTTGGTTCAACGTTCAGGTGCTTAAATATAAAAATAAAAATAAAAAAATGAAAATAATAATAAAAAAATGTGTCAGTTTTACAGCAAACTTCAAATGGAAGTGATAAAAAAAACAGCTTGAAGCAAGCACAGTTCTAAATAAAATACGAGTGCAAATAAGGGGCCTTTGCTTCTTATTTGGAGAACTGTGCATATAAGAGAGGAGGAACAGACACAAAGGAATACTTTGAAAAGTATGTTTTGATCATCTTGAATGTGTTTGATGTTTAAATGTATCAAAAGCTTGTGGAAGATGCAGATTTTCATCTATTATGTGAGGGCCTGAAACAAATCCGACGCAATAAACGGAGGTTCAGTGTAATAACAATAACAATTTGCGTGCAATTCAAGTGGCACACATCCCTTATAGCTGAAAGAACACATGAAGCGACCAGCGAGTGCAGACTGCCAAATCGCAGGTAAATACAGTAAATTTACAAGCGTCGACGCCAGACAGTGACATTACTGTATTTGGTAAGTAAACAATAATATATTAAAAAAAAAAATAGAACGATCAACCATGACATAGCCTGGGCTGCCCCTCCCCTACATTGATTTAAATGAGGGGTGTCAAACTAATTTTTGTCATTGGCCACTGAAACCAAATAATAAAGGTCAATAACAACGGATTATTTAACTATTGTTTAAGTTACTGTAATGAGGGGTTTGGTTACAAGAAAATGCTTACAATGTGTCTCTTATTTATTATATATGAGAATTTTAATTTTTGGTAAAGATTTTAGCAAGCATCATGGAAGTTGACATGTTTGATTTGGTTTCGCGGGCCACCTAAAATGGTGGGCCAGATACGGCCCCTGGGCCTTGAGTTTGACACCTGTGATTTAAATGAAAGTAACCTCTGCATTACTTGATTGGCCGCAATTATTCAGCTCATTCAAATGTGCCATTTTTTTTTCTAAATTGAGCTAATAGTTAATCCATTTGCTGTACTTTGGATTTAGTGCGGGTGTTTGTTTGACCGTTTTTCCGTGCTGCCTGAGCAGAAGCAGGTGTGTGTGTATGTATATGTCAGCGATCAATTTATTTCAATGACTGCAAGAAGGCATTGCCAGCGTATACAACATCTGTGCCTTTGGCAGACATCTGATACGCAGCAGATTTTTATCCACATTTGGAAGAGGCCCGATACAGATCTGAAGATATCCTGCTGCCATGACACGTATCCCCCATTGTACCAGAGAGCAAACAGATAAATAAATAAAGACGGAATTCTGTCATTTGGATCATGTATTGTGAACCTAGCCAACAGAAGCTGAAAGTGACAGAACTGAAAAAGCAATTTGCATGCCACGAGGCTGTCACATAAGCGTCCAGGTCTTACTTGGTATAAGGAATTGTGGGTATTGGAAAACCATAAACCAAACTGAACTCATGTGATTTTCAAAATGACATTGTTGGATCGGTTGGGATAAACAGTACAAGCCATTTAAAGTCGAGACAAGCCAAAAAATTTGGCTCAGCACATTTGAAAGAAAGGGTGCAGATGTTTTTTTTTTCTGCTAAATTTAATCACAAAAAATTTTAGACAGTGGGGGGAAAAAAAATCCTCTGTCCATGACCAGAAAAAAAAAAACATTTTACATTCAGGGCGCCCTGGTGGACCAGTGGTGAGTGCGTCAACCTCACAGGGCAGAGGTACTGGGTTCAATTCCAGCTGCAGCCTCATTGTGTGGAGTATGCATGTTCTTCCCGTGCCTGCGTGGGTTTTCTCCGGGTACTCCGGTTTCCTCCCACATTCCAAAAACATGCATGGCAGGCTGATTGAACCCTCCAAATTGTTCCTAGGTGTGAGTGTGAGTGTGAGCGTGGATGATTGTTTGTCTGTGTGTGCCCTGCGATTGGGTGGCAACCGGTTCAGGGTGTCGCCTGCCTGAAAGATGGTTCGGATAGGCTCCAGCATGCCCCTTGTGAGGATACAGTGGTACAGAAAATGGATGGATGGATGGATGGATGGATTTTACATTCATTTGTGAAGAAAAGAGCAAATGAAGTTCATACTGGATATTGTGCACCCTGTGTTCTTCTTAATTTTTCAGCCACTCTATTGGCATGCACGAGAGTGGATCGCGTTTCAATATAATTCACTCTGATGCAAAATGGCCACCTATTAAAGCCTCACTGATGAGCGTAAAGAAGAATTACGACCTCTCCGACTGTGTCAATAAAAACAGGAACATTATAAGCTTCGTAAAAGCGGCACTGACTGCAGAAGCCGCTAATAAAGCCACCACAAGTGTGTATCTTAACAAGGATAAAAGCCGTACAAATTGCATGCGATTAATGCAGAGGTCCAAATGCTTATTACAGTATATTTGTCCTTTTCAAAGAGAACCTGCTATCAAAACGCAATCCGCTCTCTTGCCTGTAAGATCGATCACAAAAAAAAAAAATTGATGTTTGGTCAGTGCTGAGCAGCAAAAATAATCCACAGCGGGGTTCTGATTATTTTGCGGTCTTTTGGGTTTGTTTTTGTTTTGCCATATCTGCCAACAAAGTTATGAAAGGACTAAAGCCAAAGATGAAGGGCTGAGTGTTTTTTACGCAGCCCATCTCGCGGTGGCTGGAAGGGCATAACAAATCCTGACAGCGATAGTGTAAAAGAGCCCAAAAGGCGCTAAAAGCTTGACGGGGCTGTGTGACAGGCTGATGTTGGAGCAACTACTCATCCCACATAATAAATAAATAAATAAATAAATAAAAAGTCAGTGCAGCAAGCAGTACAGTTCAGTTTGCAAAACACAAATCTGGATCGTGTTTCAAACAAAACAATCCTACACAAGAACCACTCATTACCACCTGATTTGATGAGATTTGGTGCCTTGACTTATAATTAACCCAATTTACAAGTTTCCAGTTTGCCCTCGCTCAGACAATTTTTTTTTTTTGCTTTGAGTGGCATGCAAAAATTGAATGACCATGCAACAGTCGCAGTGATGGCAAACTTCATAACAAGTTGTGCACATCATGAGCAATTCTTCAAAGCTTCAAGCATGAATTTTTCACTCCACTCAATTTAAGTTTACTTTAAAACCAAACACGAAACAAAGTCTTATATATTGAACCAAAGCACATTAAGTTCGTCTTACAAAAGTCCGCTAGCTTAATGCTAACACACCATGCAAAACGCCATAGACAGACCAAAACAAAACTAGCATTGACACTGCGAAAATTGCAAACATTTAAACATCTTATATTTGAACACAAACAGTAGGAACACATGGAGACAGAGCGTAGACAACAATAATCACAAGAATATATTCTTTATCCTCTGCAAAAAATAACTACATATTGAATCTTAGTTGAGATGGTTTTCTTCTGCATTTCATAAGATAAGGCAAGATGATGTATTAGCCCACGATGGGGAAATTTGCAGCGTTTCATGAGCAATAGTGAAAACAGGAAATAAAAACATAACAACCAAGGAGGACATGTTCATGCTCAAGCACGTTAGCATCATATAATTTTCATTTGCGTGCACACAGTGCAAACAAACGGCAGAGTTCACACAGTGCTTGTTCTAAATATCGGAGTTGGCTCCCCATCAGAAAAGACATTAGTACAAGAAGCACATTGCACAAAAGAAAATTAATCTGGAGCATTTTCATTTATTTTAATGGGGAAAGCTGATTTGAGAGACAAATAGTTAAAAAGAGAGTGCGCGGAAAGAAAGCAATCGTTTTTCTAAAGTGTCAAATATTTCGAGAGGAATACAAACCGATGCGGTTTGTGTCTCGGGTGCAGGGAGTGGGAGGGGATTGTGTCAGATGGAGGCCACCACCTGCACAAAGGACATGTGCGACGGGAATGAGAATGGCAGTCGGGAGAGCGCAACGGGTGGAGGACGAAGTGGAGACCGAGACAACTGTGTGATTTGCCAAATTGGAAGTGGTTGTTCCGCAGTTGTTAAAGAGTCACGCGTGAAAGGTCAAGAGATAAAATTAAGATCTACTGTGTATTCATGAAGCACCGCTATAACCGCGAGTCATCATTTGCACCTCTGCTATAGCGCAGATTCTAAATAATCGTTTTGATAGCGTTTTATAGTATACAGGTAAGTTTGAATTGAGTTGCATGTCTTTTGTGTAATATCAGGTTACGCCACAGTACGCTGAGCAGCACTGAGCTCTAGTGGATGGAGAATAGAGCAAGAAGAAGAGCCAGAAATATGTCTGTGAGTATTGGGGCACTGCGTGACTTTCTGTTAGCCTGTCAATCGTGTTTTGCGTTATATGTTAGCTTGAAACACCTATGCGATGCTAATCCATGTGTGTTGAAGAGACAGTTTGAAAGTTGAAAACGTCAATAACATCAAGGATAATTTCCATTCGCCGTCTATGGCATTTATATGTTAACATTAAGCTCACTGACGTTCACCCAAAGTGTGTTTTTTGCGTGAATATTTTGGTGTTCATATATTTTGAATGCTCTTTTATTTTATGTTTTGCTGCCCCACGTGTGTTGAAGTAATCACTTCTATTTTCTGTTAGCCTGTCTATCGTGTTTTGCATTATATGTTAGCTTGAAACGCCTATGCAATACCAATCCATGTGTGTTGAAGAGGCAGTTTCAAGGTTGAAAACCTCAATCACATCAAGGATAATTTCCATTAGCCGTCTATGACATTTATGTTAGCATTAAGCTAGCTGACATTCGCCAAAAGTGTATTTTTTTTCTTTTGGCGTGCATTTGTTTGACATTTTGGCGTTTAAATATACATTTAATTTTGTTTTGTTTTGTTTTATGTGTCTTTTATACAGTAACTCCAACTGGGAGTGACAAACGGAATGCAAGCACATTGTGGATCTTATTTGGAGAAGAGTGCAAGCGAAGGAGTCTTCTTTTCGTTTCCTTTAAACATGACAATGTTATTTAAGAGTCTCCCATTACTTAACCACGAGAGTGTCAGTGCTAAGGAATAATTAAAAAAGTGATAAGTTTAAAGTGTGCCGGAAGGTTGAAATGATATTTTTAATATGCTCTTTCTATATCACAGATTGTGAGTGGGTCAGAAATATATCGCCCCATTAAATGAGAGTTCACTGTGCTTCAGCGAATACAAGTCTGGTGATTACACAAGGACTAAAAGGGGGAAAAAAAAATCATTTTACCTGTCCGAGGACTGGGCCCAGCGGTGGCCCGGGGGCTGCCTGCCCCGACCTCACAATAGCCCGGATCACGCCACTTGCATCCATCTTCTTCACGGCTTTGGCCGCCTTGGAGATCTTTGACATGTTTCCAGCTTGCCACCGAGCCAACGAGAGAACACTACCAGTGAAATGACAACACAGCAAATTAGCATACCTTCATAACATAGTCAGTGCACGAACTGATTTCTACACGAGACTCATTGAAACATGTTCAACTTCAAAAACATCACTCGCGAAAGCAACGGGCTAACGTGGCGCCTTCCCATTCTGCTGCAGCGGGCGAGTAATTTAAAAAAGAAAAAAAAAAGGATCTTTGTCTTCGATCAGTGTAGCGAGAGCTGGAGATGCCCGAGGTGGCGGAGTTGGGGATGAGCGTGAGCGTGAGATTCTCCACATGGCGCAGACAGACGGCGGGATTGAAACTTTGAAACCTGCATGCCAAAAACGCCTCACCTTGTTTTTTTTTTTTGTTTTTTTTTTTTAGATGTGTCACCGCTAAACTCCACCACAGGGGGTTAAGTGTCAAGCACGTGGGAGGATAAAAGGTGCCTTCAACATGACAACCACCAAGTTAGAATGGGAAAGTTCTTTTCTCTAAGTTTTGGAAAGTTCCAGGGAAACTCAAAAACATGCACCATGAAAACATTCGTTTTTTTCCCCTCAAAATAGGCAACTTTTTAATTCCAGTGGCATTTTGAGTTACACAAGGTAATAATTTTTTTAATTTGATTTTTCATCACAAAAAAAAAAATCCATGAAAAGATTTCTCTACAATACGATTTCTTTGAGTACAACATGACTGGTGCACTCATGCTGTTGGCCACTGCTCTCACTAGACCACTCACACGCAGAGTTGGAACTTCACCTGCCAGCCCACCAGGCCCGGCCTCACGAATTATATTCTAATAAATTGAAATATATTTTAAGCATTTAAACAGGAACCAAAAAATAACCTTTTAAATAAGCTGATGTATCCAAAAAGTTATTCTTGTGCAAGCAAACAGCCAAAGCTGACTCAGTTTTTTTCTTGTTTCTTCTTCTGTAAATGGCCCTGAATAAACAACATATGATGAAGCAGCATAGAAATGTCAGTTCTGTCACGCATGACCCCGAGGGAGAGGTTTTTTTTTCTTTTTTTTTTTAACCCCCATTGCAATTCAAAAAGCAAATAAGAAGTCAATTAGTCGAGTGGGGAGAAAAGCCTGAACCTGTGGCCTTTCTCCGAGGAGGCTGAACACATAAACGCACTTTTGTAATCCTCTGATGGAATCAAAGTGAAACAGGCAGAGCCATTAAAAAAAAAAAAAAAAAGTAGGAGCTGGAGAAAGAGGGGGGAGGAAGAAAAGATCAATGATGGGAGCCAGGGGACAAATAGAAGTTTTAAGGTTGAAGCCTTGCAATTTGAGGGGGTGTTGAGCATTCAATAAAAATAAGTCGTTGAGGGTCGAAGCGTTATCGTGATGCTTCATCACAAGTAACCGATGGGATCCAATTAGATCAACAGAGGAGAGACGACGAGCGAGAAGCATGGGACCGCATACTGTTCTTGAGTCACTAACAGAAGGCAAGAAAAATTTGGAGCTCTAAGTGTGAACACAATGATGCGATTTTCGTAAGGCGCGGCTGCACGGGCGCCATTTAGCGGCTAAGCTACTTGTGTGAAGAAGAAGTACGTACCGCCTCAGATCAAGTGTGCCAGCAGACAGTGCAGAGGCGTCCAACACTAATTTGCGGGAAATAGACATCATAGTGGAAGAAAACTGGGGCAGAAATACCAATCCGAAGGTTTTGCGACTGCTGCCTTGTGTGGAGAAGCACCAAATGGTGCTTTTATCCTCCTATTATGATATTTTGAAAAATAATCTCACTGCGATTTTTTTTCTGAATATTGCAATTGCGATTTAATGTGCAATTATTTTTTTAAGGTTCTCTTTACATTCTTTTAAAACAACTAAAAGTAATAATTAAATCTGAATTGATATAAACAATATCAGTGTTGTTATTCAAAAATGTTTTGGTCATAATTTAGGAAGGATTAAGTTAAAATAAAGGCCAAAGAACCATGAAAGGTTATGAAAGATGTTTGTTTTTCCTTATCCTCTTCAAATAGACTTATCAATGTATTAAACAATTTGACTAGCGATCTTTTTAAGTGTTCACGATGACAAGTGGACAAAATTCGACCAAATAAATGTAGCATGTCTGAGGTGTGATAAGAGTGGATTTGTCCCATGAAGAGGGTCCAAAACGAGTCGGGGGGCCAACAATCTTCATTTACGTATTCAATTTTTCCGAACAAAAATCTTAATATGTGCGGTAGAAAACAGAATCTCCCAAGTCGCTTGAGGTAAAACGATTGTAGACAATCAAAGAAGCACCCTGACAGACGCTAAATAAAACAAAACATGTTCGACCAACATCGTTTATTACATAAAAGTTGTTTCCCCTGACGCCAAGGAGTATTTTTCCAAAGCAAGTCTTTTTCTTGACGATATCGTCATTTAAAAACACTCCGCTTCTGGTCCTCAGTCGGGTAAAATCGGCGTACGGTTCGTTGTTTTGTAGAAATGGCACGTGATCACGAGATATTTCTGCCTCTAATGACGTCAGTGGTGGAAGACACACAATTCGACTAACTCTGTTCATGGTGTGCCGTATATGGATTTTTTTTTTAAAGATTTTTGAAATATACTTACGCGTGTACCCGGGCTAAATCACACTTAAGGTTAAAAAAAAAATCTGTGGCTCTATCACTTCAACTTTTTACGTTTCATGAAACAGTGGCATGGAAACATGTGGACTGAACTTCTTAACCACTGTAGCTATCGAGACAATACATGAATAAATAGAATATACATTTGTAGAAAAGCGAAGCTTGCCAACTGACCAAAGTGAAGGCGTTTTTTTTCCTCCCTTCAAAATGCAGCCGTTGCGATTTGAAAACGGCATTCTCCTACGTTGCCGTGTCCATTTGACTTTGATGAATTGTTCAGCCTTAGTTTATTCCAATTGGGAATTAAGGGAATAAACACTCTGAGAAAAGGCAAAAAGCGCCTTGCTGCAACTCCAGTTGAGGTTGCGAGTGATAGAAGCGAGGTCTTCAGTCGGCGTGGCGCTAAATAAAACGAGGCATCGCAACGACTGAAGCGGCGAAGGGGGTGACCTACATAAAGGGGGCGCGCGACTGCACTCGGAGCACTCTTTGGCACGGCGGAATTTACATTACATCCAAGGGATAAAGGGCATGCCACGTACATGCTTCAAGGCTGCAAAATAAGCATCAATCAGAGCCGTTGTGCAGGGGAGGAATCCAATCAAAGCGGCAGGAATGTGAGCGGAATAAGACGCTTCCCCCAAACCCAGAGCAACGCTGCGTTCCCATGGCAATTCCTGGCCCAGGCAACCGCCGGGTCATCCGTGAAGCCAAAGTGCAGAGTTAATGCACTTTGTCCAAAGTGGGCTTGATGAATGAGGCGTGAAAACGTTGACGTATAAATTACTGCCTTATTAACAACAGCGGTGGTGGGGGGTGTGGGGGTTTGAAGGTGGCATTGTCTCGTAAATCGAGGTTCCTGACTTGCTGGCAAGTCTTTCTAATGGTGTGGCTCGAGTTATTTTTCTCTGTCCAGTGGAAGCCATCGATTTTTTGCGGACCTTTGAGTGTGCAACGCCTGCACGTTTTCTTGGCTCCTCAACAATGCATTCCTTTCACGGCTAACGGACTGCCTGCCAACCATTTTAAGTTCAAGTCGAGTTCCCCATATTGCGAGCCTTTTTTCACCCTTTTGACTGATCATTCACGACCCACAAAATATTGTTCTGAGACAATATAAGCACCAAGCCTACCTGAAGACTCGACTCTCTTCTTCCACCAGAAAAAAAAAATTCTACTTTGGCCAAAAAAAAAAAAAAAAAAAAAACCTAAACGCTTTTTGTGAAAAGAAACACGTCAAGCACAACAGTGACTTCAACGTAAATATTTTTGTAGATTTTGTGAGACTTCAGACCACAAAACAACAAAGACACCTTTTTTCATGACAAAGTAATTATTTATTTACAGATATACAACGAAGAAAGGCGCCATGAGTGACACTGACGCACAGCATGGCTCGAATTGAATGTCAGTGGCTTTCTTACATTGCATTCGCCATTCACTTTGTGAATCGTGTCCTCTTTTCTCCCATGCTGTCTCATCTTTATACTGTCCATACGAATGCATACATACTCTGTTGCCTAAACTAGCTCTACTTCCAGCGAGTTGTAATTTCTCTTCCCCATAATTGTCACGACAAGCCGAGAATTGCCCTAAATCTTTATCTCCAACTCCAATGCTGCATGGACGTCAAATCCAAAGCGATGCAAAGCTGCCATCTACTGGGATCTGTCAGTCATTACAGTGTTTAACAAACATGATCCGTGGGCAAAAACACAATTCGCGAATGAACAGAATTTGTTGGAGGAAGTAGACGGCTGCGTTCCGGGTTGGGGTTTAACAAAAGAAAAAAAAAACTATTTGAATTGGAAAATCATTTTTGATTAATAAGATGCAAATTTTGTTGTTGAATGTGTTGCTGCTGTAGGTGGGTTTAAATATAGATAGCAGTTGTTTGAAGGTTTATAATGAGCGCAACTTCGATGCTATTTTTCCTTCGATCGAGTATTAAGAAAGCTGACTATCTGGAAGTAAGCACGCATCCTTTTTATTTGGAGAACTGCTCCAGTGAGAGGCGTCTGCTTTTTCTTTCCACAAAGGGATATTATCTGACAGTCTCCAATTTTTTGACAGCGTGAAAGTCGGCACATATGAATACTTAAAAAAATATGTTTTAATATGTTGTTTGTCAGGTGTACAGCTATGAAAAAGTTTTATTTTGGATACGGTCTTGCTATAGCGCCGATTTTCACCAATCACAGGCAGGTCCGTTGCGCAACCCCTGCCACAGAGATTCGGTGTACATGGTATTTGGAAAAAATGTGATTTTAGTGAAGCTCCATGCAGAAAATAAAAAAGTTTTTTTAAAAAAAGGGAAAAAAAAAACAAGAAAAAAGCATCACAGGAGCGCCTGCTTTCCAGTCCATAAGAAAAGAAAAGCAAACTCTAAATAAGTGATGCGGCTGCCGTCTAAAACGAGGCAGAATGGCTGTAGTGTAGAGCAATGGTGCTTTTTTTGGGTCTATTTTTGAACACAGTCTTGGAGTGACGCACACACGCACACACACACATCATCATCCCAATACATCACTATACATGATCACATTTTAGAAAAGATGCATTTTCAAGTGTTTACAGGTGGAAAGTGAAGGCATCGGATTGCTGCAGTCACCACAGTACTCAACACCTGCTTTCTCCAGACAGATTTGACTGTTCAAATAAATATGGCCTCGAGATGTTTTTCCCCCACAAAACATTGATTAGCACAGGCCAGTGATAGGACGAATTTGGGTGACGTCCTCGCCGTAGAAACAGAACTATGTCACCAATTAAGGTCCCGCTGAATTCCAATAACACCATCTAAAAAAAAAAAAAAAAACTAAGTCAATAAAACCTAAAACTGACTTTAGATGTTTTTTTTTTTTTAAATGCTAAATAAGTGACATAATTGCGGATGGTCGCTCTTGAGCAGAATCCTCACATCTCCATGACAACTTTTTGGAAAATATTTAAAAAAAAAAAAAAAAAAAAAAAAAACGCCAACTGGCGTGGTTCAAGTCGGTAGGTATTATTATTGCTTTCATATACCATTGCACACCAGCATTCACAAAAACTCTTTCTATAAGTCTTGTCAATTTGCCGATTGACAAAAAAAAAAAAAAAAAAAAAAAAATCCCTTTATTAGTACTGTTGAGTTATTACATTGTCAGTGATTAAAATGTTACAGATATGTCGCCGCTGCCGGCCACGCCGATCACTGTATGCGCTAATACTTCACAAATGTGTGATTACATCATCTTCCCAAACTCTTATCTGCACACACCTTAGTGGCTCAACGGTTCCTTCTGCACTAAAGTATGACAGTGATCCAATTTTAACAAATCAGGCTTATTGAAATGTATCTATTTTTATTTGTCATTGTCTAAAAAAGAAAACACACCCAGACTTTCAATCTTGAAGCAACGCAATGCTGCACGGCACCCACAGAGCGTGGGAAGAGGCAGATTTCTACATTTTTCAAACAGTTGAAGCGTCCAAAGGAGATAGTAGATTTGCTGTCATGCTGTTCCAACACTTTACATCCATTTGTTAAAATAACAGACCAAACGGTGACTGATTGAGATCGAACATATTCGGACATTCAAGGTAATTGCCCGACAGCAATGACACTATAGGGCTTGCACGAAAACGCTGAGGCAGGATGGCAGAAAGTTTGACTGTGCCCCCCCCCGCCCCCCCAACACTTCAGAAAGCAATCTGCACTGCAAGCCATACGGCAAAACCACCGGGACAAACAAGTGAGGGCAGCTCAAATACGGATGTGTTACTCATCCCTCAATATTTCACAGTCTTAAAAAGCCAAAACATTGATCATGGATTTCAGCGGGTGTGATGGCAAAGCGCAATGCTCCTTTTTGTACCTTCAAATGAAAATTTAAATGGTTTTCCCCGCATCGTTCAGGCTTCCTCCCAAGTCAATTGTCAAGCTGCCGGTGCCAGAGAAATCCAAGTAAACAAGTCAATAAACGCGGCCAAATGAGGTGGCTTCCGGGAAAACATAGCACCTGACGACATTATACCCGGCGCCGCGCAATCTTTTGCGCGGGCCGAGCCGAGGTGCTCCGCCCCCCAGGTTGCTCTTTTTTTTTTTTTTTTAAAGAGATATTCGTTACAAGCGCCAGGCGATATTGCAAAAAAGATTTTCATTTGAGCGTAAAAGCTATTGCCGCCGGAAAACAAATAGAAAAGCAGTGCAATTCAAGGACAGCGCTCATTTTGGAGAGATTAATCAGCTCGTAATTAAAAATGGTGAGCTTAATTGCACCGGTGAGGCCTATCGCTGTGTCTTGTTTGGGCTATTAGGGGCTTTTTTTTTCTCGAATCCTCTTCAAGGAGAGCAACAACCAAAGTCAATCTGTTGGTTTATTTACAAGTCAAGGGGATGTTTCAAACTAACAGATGTTTGCCAGCACGATTGTGAACGACGTGGCGAGAGGGGATCTCATAGCATCTCTTTACGACCTCTCAGTGAAATTCGAGACCAACTGGTTGAATGGAGAGCTTGAAACGGGTTGGCACAGAAAATCCTAATTCAAAGAGTTTGCGAAAAGGAATCATCACAGCTTGAACACGGTTGGCTTTATGCTGGCCTTTTTTGCTTCATTTATTTTAAGATGTGTTCATGCAAATGTAATTAAACTTCCCATGGTGGATTTGTGTCTGATGTTGTCACTTCCAACTTCTGTCCTTTAGATACAGCAATAATAGTGTGTTTGCATGAAATTGTATCTTTGGCCAATTGAAACTTGCACAAGCTGTATTCTTGTTGTTTGCCAGATTACATTATTTATTTAGTACTGGAAAAGGGAGCAATTTTATATAATATTGTCAGTTTCTCAAAGAAGTGTTTAATGTCATACTGCACTCCGACGCCGTAAACGAATGATGCAATTTGCATTTGAAAATGTGGACAGAGCCTCAGCTGACCCTGGATAAGATTTATGCTTTCATCGTACAAGTGGAAGCTTCCTCTGCTCACTGGAGAAAGGCTACAATTATATGAAACAACGGTATAAGGAAAAAAATGTAGTACAGTACAGTGTATAATTTGATGTTGTTTTCTAACCGACAAATTGTGCATCCAAACTGGGATTTGTAGTTACAAAAAAATCTATAAAAATGACAAGAACTGATGTTAAAGGGGAAGTCATCCCCCAAATTCTTTAGAATAACAAATTCTATGCAGCCCCATTAGTCTAAACATGACATTCTGATACATATCGCGTTTGAGGAATATGAATTAAGCAGTAAAATCTACCCATAGTAATCCAACTCACAGGGCGGCCATTTTGCCACTTGCCGTCGACTGTAAATGACATCACAGAGCTTTTCTTTAAAAAAGGAAAAGAAAGAAATTTCTAAGTGACGCTAAACTTTTCAGTTATTTATTTTTTTTGGTCAAAATTTTTACTATAATGTGGATAAAAATTATTTCAAAACAATTATGTACATTTCAGATGCAGGTATTATTCTTGCCCATTTGGGGGTCACTATCGCCATGTTCTACCACAGTACCTGGGACAGAGTATGGTTTGGTGAGTGACGTGGGCGTCAGCGAGTGTTGTTGGCTGACTTAGCTGGTTAACTCATTAGCCGGTACTCGTGTTCAGTGACTTGACGTGGTCATAGGCAGCTCATGTACGAACAGGGTCATCGCATGTTCAATTATTCACCGTTTGTTCAATGAAGTTACTGAAAGGAAACCAACAGCTATGTTTATCCTTGAAAAGCCGTGGAGGCATTTACAATTTGTTATGACTAGCGATCATAGGCTACATTAAATCAGCTAGCATTGAAACGTTACATTGAGCCGGGGTACAACCTGAACTGGTCGCCAGTTAACCACAGGGGCCGCTATAATTCTAATACAAATTGTTCATATCGCCTTCATCTCAATTAAGAATGACCTGTAAGGGCAAATCATCACACAAAAGGGAAGACAAGACAGCTGGTTGTTCACTTTTTTTTTTCGGTGGATTGAACAGACCAAATACCCCACAAGCTTCCACAGGGGGTATGGACAGCACTGAAATTAACATAGCACTGACACGGACAAAATAGCCCCCTGCCTCAAAAAGGAAAGTAGTATTTCCAGCCGGTGAGATGATGTCCGCTGTGCTCTGCGTGTGTTTCCAGTGATTCCCCACCCCCCCAATCTTCTGTCTGACATCTAGCTTTAAATGCAAAGCTAAAACATGAAAGTGATGGCAGACAAACCAGCTGTGCTGCTTAATAAATAAAACTTGCTTTCACAGCTCGGCAGCATTAATATTCACACTGTGCAAGTTTCATCTACGCTATATGAAATGCTTACAAGACTCATCAATATGGGCAACCTTAATTAAAGATTGAAAATATAGATTAGCATTTTCACGAAACGTGAGTGAAATTGCTGGGATAATCCATCCCTACTATCTTGCATCTATGATTGATATGCTGTACAGTGAAATCTCGCGACATCACGGTTCATCTTTTGCGCGGGACCGTTTTTAATCGGATTTTACTGATGCCCAGATTCGCTCCCAAAATCCCCATTCGCTATTTGTGTTGACATTAACAAACAAGTGGCTGCCATTGTACTTTTGGCCACAAAATACATCCAAGTCCAACAAACGAAAAATCCAATTTGATCAAAATTTTACTTACTTCCACAATACATTGTCCAAAGTGCTTTACAAAGCCTCATATTCACTTCTGTTTTACCGGATTGAATGACAATTCTACATTTTGCCCAAGGACATTTATTTTATCACCACTCAGTATTACCGGTAAATTCCATTTTAAATAATTCATGCCCATAAGAACCCGTTTACATGCGGCAATTCATTTTATTGAGATGGTAAGAAAAGGTGGCACAATATTGTCCTAATCTCCTAAACACATTTTGGTTTAAGGGAATTAAGTCACAACACAATAATAGTGCACATTTGAAAGAACGAGGGAGGAGGAAAAGAAGAGCAGGAGAAAGGGCTAAAAGAAAAAAGCCTTCGAGACACGCTGTTGTCCTTGGATACCGGTAGGAAAATAACAAGAAAGAAAATTATAAAAGCAATCCCGTGTCCCTGCCCATCTTTGCACAAATGCTTGAATCTCATTAGAGACACAATGAATGACTGAGAGCCTTGAATGCTAAATGTCTGCTGACAGCGCGATAGACAGCGCGGGGAGGGACCTTCGCCGGCAGCAGGGCATTCTGGGAAGTCATATTTGCTTCGAAGGCAGGTGTTTTATTAATTAGGGCCACGGGGTTTTTTAACACGCTGACCAAAGTGAGAGGAATTTATTATCGAGCGGCGGGTCGTGATTGACGGCGGCAGGCCGCTGCTAAACGCGATCATGCGCTGTTCCAAAGCGTTAGCATTCATCACGTGGGTGTGAGCTGCGTCTTCTGATTATGGGATGGCAGGTGCTGAAGGGCAGTGGAACATAACCAACTCTTCAAAAGAGTGCCGGTTGAGAAGACTCGCTTTCACCATCCATCTCTGCCGCCTTTCAACTCGGTCGCTGTTAATATTCACCAATATGCAGCGGTACCTTGACTTGAGAATTTAATTTGTTCCACTACCAAGCTCTTAACTAAGTTGACTCACCTAGAAAATCCATTTAACACATTGAAATGAATTTAAATGCCATTACTCTATTCCAGCACTCCCTGAATAAATATGCAATCAAATAAATCTTTCATGTTTTTAACTCATTCACTGCTGCTGGATGCTTATAATCGTCAAGCAGAACCCACGAATATATTTGTTAAATGTGTTTGTTTTTTTTTAATTGGTAGGCTCGGAAGAGGCTCTACACCCCTTGTCTTCTGCAAATATATAGTTTGTCAACCACCGGAATGACAAACAAATCCCTGGAGATGACAGCGTTGCATCGCTTGGGATTTGAGATCAGCACAGCTTTTGAGTAGAAGATAAAATTTGGGCGGTTGAGGTCGGCGTGAGACTTCAATTATGAGGGACACAAATGCCAAACGGAAGCCCAATCAATCAAGAATTTGTCGGAAGTCGGGCATTTTTAGGCACTTGATGCTCAAACAGAGTATGTGTAAGTGTGGCATAAACAGAGTGTGTATCACCGGCATGAGAAAAGATGATGGAGTGAATGATGCCATGGAAAAAAAAAGCCACTGACGTTCAACCTGAGCCATGTGAAAAGTCAGTGTCGGCCGCGGAATGTTTCTTGGATGTGTTCTTACATTCTTCTTTGTTACGTTTTTGTTTTTTTATAGTGTGAGGTGTCACAAAAACGAGTGTTTTGCCACCATCTTTTGGCATCGACAAGCAATTAGAAACCTTTTTGTGTGCGCGTCAAGAGAGTTTTCGCTATTCGCGGCAGGACTCGGGAAGAAACTGGAAAAACTTACTGTATTTACATTCCAATCACACAGGGCAGATGTTCTTACTCGGCCTATATGTGTGTTATAAATATTCATCTATATTCAAAAGAAGAACCTTGTAATCGAGTCCCAGTGGGATGTGCGAGATTGCATTGGCTCACACTAACGGGGGCTTCAAATACATTGGTTACCTTCCACTGAAAGGTACAGAGTACCAAAAAAAAAAAAAAAAACCCTCATAATACAGTAGAGTTTGACACCATTGAAAACTACATGCATAATAAGAACTACGACTGGAAAACAAAAACAATTTAAACATTACTCTGCTGTAAAGTCGTCTCATTGCAAGGCAAAGGTTCGCAAGTGTGTGCGCATGGAGGGAAGGTTTCTATTTTTTTTTGGTCAGGGTTCGTTCAGTGTTGTGAACAGTTAAGCTAAAGCAACACGTTTGAACTAACAGACATTTTGGCACAAAGCAAATTTGTTTTTACGGGTGCTTTTGAAAAAGAGATCATAAAATATGGAGCCGTTTTGTGCACATTGTGTGTGATTACAGTTGACTGCTTTTCTACTTGTTAGGAAACCCCAGCGGGGAAATAAAACATTTAGGCAGCGCATCATTCCTCGGTACAGTTGAATGAAAAGTTTTGGTTACAGCGGCAACACTAACAAAAACAATTTAAACATTACTCTGCTGTAAAGTCGTCTCATTGCAAGGCAAAGGTTCGCAAGTGTGTGCGCATGGAGGGAAGGTTTCTATTTTTTTTTTGGTCAGGGTTCGTTCAGTGTTGTGAACAGTTAAGCTAAAGCAACACGTTTGAACTAACAGACATTTTGGCACAAAGCAAATTTGTTTTTACGGGTGCTTTTGAAAAAGAGATCATAAAATATGGAGCCGTTTTGTGCACATTGTGTGTGATTACAGTTGACTGCTTTTCTACTTGTTAGGAAACCCCAGCGGGGAAATAAAACATTTAGGCAGCGCATCATTCCTCGGTACAGTTGAATGAAAAGTTTTGGTTACAGCGGCAACACTTTGGACGGCCATCAGCGCGTCCAAGTTCAAACGAGGACCCCTCTCCCCAACCCCAACTTGAATCAGCCATGCAGGCGTCATCTCCCCCGAGGATGCTGCTTTATTTACTGCCTTCTTTGAATTGCATTTCCTCCCCCGCCATATTTGACAAACAGCAACAATGGCGGATGAGCAGCATGGCGGGTGCCTGACAAGCCTTTCTCTCAAAGTGGCAAAACTAAATACGGTTGAGCCTCCAAAATATGAACGATATGAACGCACCGAAAAGTCCAGTCCAAACAACAGTTTCTGGAAAATATGCCTCAAAAGGAGGAAATAACTTCAAACATCATCCTTCATCACATGACATCAACAGATTTCAGGTGTCAAACTCAATATTTGGCTGCCACATCATTTTAAGCAGCCCTCGAAAGACTCGATAAAATGATTTCAAAGTAAATTAAAGTCTATGTAAAGGGAAACTTATGTCATCTAAATATGACACATCACAGGGATGAGAGTAGCATCTTTCTTATGCTAGCCCAAATGGATATATTTGTTATCCTCTGTGAAGAAAGAATTATTCCATCTTACAGAGGAGCTGATCGACCATTTCCACGTACAGTATATAACACACAACAGAAGGAGCAGCACGCATTAAAGTATACCTGTATAATGTGACAAAAAATGTTTAATTAATTTTATTATATTTAATTACACCATTACTGTATGTATTTATGAAGCGCAATACCCTATAATGTGATTTTTATCATTAAATTACACGTGAAAAATATTTTTGTTGAATTTTTTTGGGGGCGAGGCTGGAATGAAGGGCATTTCAATTCATTTCTATGGGGAAAGATGATTTGAGATAAGACAAAACCACTTCTGAGAGAGAACATGAACTAAAGAGTGCAAAAAACAATGAGGATGCAGTTAAAAGTTAAATGACCATCATTTTTACTCTTTATTCTTTGTTTACATTATGCACAACTCTCATTTATTGTGCAATAATCTAATTGTAACATGTATATATTTTGATGCATTTTTATGCTTTATAAAACATTTATCTCTGAATTTGGGGGGGGGGGGTCTTGGAACGGATTAAGGAATTTACATGGAAAATACATCTCAACTTACAAAATTTTCGAGTTCAGAAATTTCTTTCTGAACCAATTGCTGTATTTTCCCCACTATAAGACACACCTAAAAGCATTCCATTTTCTCAAAAGCCGACAGTGCGCCTTATAATCCGATGCACCTTATATATATGGATCAATACTCTGATTTCTTGGACGTAGTATTTTAAAGATGAAGTTCTGTAAAGCGCTTTGTTACAGCTGCAGCGGTTGTGAAAGTGCTATATAACTACAGCTGCAATGTATTGTATTCCCTTTAGTGTAGCGCCATCTAGTGGATGCATATGCCACTATTGTAGCTTCTATTTATGCGCCTTATAATGCGGTGCACCCGATTGATGAAAACAGATTTAAAATAGGCCATTCACTGAAGGTGCGCCTTATAATCCGAAGCGCCTTACACTGCGGAAAATACGGTAATTTCATAAGTAGAGGTACCACTGTACTCTGTTTCATTTCATGGAATCTACCCCCAGAACAAATGAGTGTTCGCTGCAGACTGTATTTTTCAGGCAGACGGACCTGTTGCTAATATATAGTCATCCTCTTCAATGTGTAATGCATGGCAGGATGATGTGAATTAATCCTACACATAGAAACAGATTGATGCACGGTGCAAAATTTAGTCTGGAGGAAAAATGAAGATGAAACTGAAGAGAGCGGGGCTTCTCTACGCTTGAACATATTCAGGGATGACGGCGCAAGATGAAGCGCAATCCAGCGGGCTATTTCAATGATTCAATTCTCTGGAGAAGCATCCGTCATCTCGGGGCGACACGTGGCTACACAAAGGCTTTGACATTATCAAGTTCCCTCTTCGAAGGAGTTCTTCTTCACCAGGCACCAGGCCACGTGTGACAGCAGCCCTAGAGGTATGAAAAGTTGTCTGAAAACATAGTGCATTCTTTAGCATTATTCATCCAAGTCACAGAACATTTCAGGCAAAAAAATGGGAACAATTGTCATCAGACGAAAGCCTTTGGAAAGTCATATCTCATGAATAGCAAGCAGTCTGTATAAAAGAGTTAGTACTCATCGACATTAAGGTGCAATTATTTGTGGTGTCCACCAGGGGTCAATTCTGGAACCTTTGTTATTTTTATTGTACAGTAATGTTTGATAAAGTGTTCCAAGGAAGTTTTTCACAGATGAGAGTGCCATGCTTTAGTAGAATGACTTTGTCATTCTTTAAGAGTAACTGGTCACCACCAATGATTTTTGGGGGAACGATTAGTGCCATTTTTGGCAGGCAATTAAATCATATCTAACTATGTTGCACTAGTAGCCTAACAAATAGGTAAGTGTTACACACTAGTCACCGTCTAATCACGTATAATGCTGTATAATAGTGTGTCATGCACTTGCGTATTTCACATCAAGGATATCGAATAAATGCTCAAACAGCTTTCTGTAAAGAATGTGCATGAAAAACGGGTTAAAGGTGGTGGTAAATGTTTGGCTAATAGGGCAATATTGATAAGACGGATCAAAAAAGATACAAGAAGAGAACCATTTAATTCTGTAAAAAAGATAAGGAGCTACTACTGTGAAACATGCCTAATAGTTGAACCGGGTCACATCACTAGTGCATGGTAGTTTACCGGTACTGTTCAACTGCATATTAGTGGGCAAAAGTGGCACCATTGGTGGATTTTTGATACTTTGTTTTCAAGGTCCTTTGGATACTTTGATTATTATTGCCAGAAAACATGTTTCCAAGCGTGTTATACATGCGACCAAGTGAAGTCAACTTAACAGCCGTGAGTGTGTTCAACTCCTCGCGAAGCAAAGACAGTAACAGATGTACAGCATTCAGTCTCCTCCACTGACACGTGTGAAAGCATCACCGCCATGCCCAATGGCCTCATCCCAGTGCCTATTCAATCTTCCAAATGCTTCTAATGAACTTTTCAACTGATTGTTGCCGCCACTCGACATGAAATATGCCACCGCTCCTCTTAGGATTTCATTTGCTCACCTCAACAATATTCATTAAAGGACCGCTGCATTCAAGGTGAAGGTGGGGGTCGAGGGGATTGTGACAAATGGTGTGAAATGAGAAGGATATGGCATGAACAGATAGCACATTCACTGTAAAGGACAACACAAGTGCAGTCTGGGATTAAAAGTAATACAAAACGTGATAGAAAAGCCAAAAATGAGACAAAATGGTGCTACTCAAAAAGGTATTTCCGGACAAATTGGGTCCAAGCACTGCCGCAAATAATTGGCATCCCTATCACCCCCAAAAGTAAATGCTGATGGATTCCACAAGACTCTTGGCAAAAACACCGAAAAATAAAATGGAGAGGACATGAAACATCAACACCATGCATTTAGCATGTACACGATCATGAACCAATGTTACATTAACAACTGTATTCAGCATTCACATGAGGCTTATCAGTGGTATTGGCTAGCATACTAACCGAAATGACATTCTAGTACAAATTGGCATGACATCACACAGGGGCAAAAAACAAAATATGTGCACTACCACTTTACGCACATGGTAGTGAGTCATTAAACACACCTTTTGCCATTTACCCACAAAAATAAATGTTGGCGGCGTAGAAAACATGAACTATTATTAGCTACATCTCGACAGAAGCAAAAAATACTTTTCACCTTGGAACCGCCAGCAAAATTGGACCTCTCAAACGTAAATGAAAAAAACATTATCATTTAATTAAATACGACAACAACACACCCGATAATCCAGGAGAAAAAAGATGTCGGCCGTATAAATGTTACTGGTACAGCACAGGAGTAGTGGGAAAAATGTTACCAGTAAGACAGTCGTTTTTTAGTGTGCTGAGCTGCCTGCTAGTGAGGAAAAGGATCATACTAGTACATGATCTTGAGCTGGATATCAGGGATACGAAATACATACATGCTCAAACAGCTGCGTTGATGGTGAGGCCATTAGTTTTTGATGGTGTGGGTTTATCTGAAGACAGTAAAAGAATTGCGCCAAGCACGTGATATCACTTCGTCGGGACACAATGTGTGTGTAAAGTGAAGGAATAATACACCACTCCTGTCAAAAAGATTGTGAACGCCACGAGAAAATGCATCCACTTCTTCCAATTGCAACTCCACGAGCCGCTCAGTCACATTGAACGTCACACGCCGGACGTCACCGTCACGTTCACTAATAAATGAACCAACATCGGATGCTTTAAAATAGGAGAAAGCGAGCCGAGTACAGCACAAGAGAGATAATCTGCAACAGATGACGTACCTGCTTGTCGTCTTGTGCTTTCACGATGTTTCTATTTCTGTTTCTGTCTCTCCTTCAGGGCGCAGACATGTTGGATTCGTACTTCGCTCAAGTATTTGGTATTTGTTTCTCCACTGCTACTCGCAGGCGGGGAGGAGTAACTGCAATTTTCCCATTTGATGTTCATTTTCAATGGACAACTGCATCAATCAGTATTTCATGAAAGTTAACATTCCCCTATTCTTGGCACCCAAGTTAAAGCACTATTTACTTTCTGAGTCTTCTATAATTGTTGAATCGCACTTTTTGAGATGTTTATTTTGTGGACTGAAGCCTGTGTTTATGGGCGCGGCCATCTTGAAAAATGCAGTTGGTCACACATGGATCATTAAAAGCGCCGATTGCCACCTACAAGTTGAATTTGGAATTAAACCTAAGTCAACTATTCATCTGAAAAACATGCACTTTCCCTATTCGTTTCTGCACTCTGCTTAAAAAAGACAAAATGGACTTAGCCCGTTCCAGTTCTCAAGAGGTCGAATAATTATTCTTGTGCTGTTTTGAGACTTCCCATGCGTGACCCTCCAAAAAGCAACCGTTTTTGATAATGTGCAAATGTGGTGAGGACACAGATATTTCTCAAGGCTGTTTCAAGCTCCCTTTTACGGGTTACCATGATGGGCTCTAGCTCAGCCGCTTCCCTAATGAGGAAAAGAGTCGGACTGATGGATTTATTCACCTTCCGCGAGGACCGCTTTAAATTAATGTGCACATTTTTATTGCGCCAAGCACGTGATATCACTTCGTCGGGACACAATGTGTGTGTAAAGTGAAGGAATAATACACCACTCCTGTCAAAAAGATTGTGAACGCCAAGAGAAAATGCATCCACTGTTTCCAATTGCAACTCCACGAGCCGCTCAGTCGCATGGAACGTCACACGCCGGACGTCACCGTCACGTTCACTAATAAATGAACCAACATCGGATGCTTTAAAATAGGAGAAAGCGAGCCGAGTACAGCACAAGAGAGATAATCTGCAACAGATGACGTACCTGCTTGTCGTCTTGTGCTTTCACGATGTTTCTATTTCTGTTTCTGTCTCTCCTTCAGGGCGCAGACATGTTGGATGAAATGTCTTCTTTGAGGTGAAAAATCACAGTGTCGCAACAGGAATCCCCCTCCACACAAAAATAACGATTAGTCATTTAAAACAAAATCTGAATCAAAATTCTCATTCATGTTTAATTTGAGGTAAAAGGAAAAAGAAAAAAAAACAATCAGAAATTGCTGACTGGCGCTGAGGTGGTTTGAAAGTTTAAGGCATTTCACGGTGATTAATAAATAATTATACATGATATATATATACCAAAAAAAAAAACTGCATTAAAATAAAATTCACAGATCAGGTGATGAGGTTGGTCACGTTCTGCAGCGCGGCAGCACTCCGGGTCAGGGAATGCTCGTGAGGGAATAATTCTCGCAGGAGGAATGACAGCAGCATCTGAAAATGGAGCGGGGGGGGGGCGCAACATCATGATACTCAAAAATGATTTTTAATAGAGTGAAAGCCTCATTTGAAACCTCATTACTTTCTCAAAACCCTACTTTGAAACCCATTTAAAACCCTAAACCAATTAAATTTCTACTTTTATTCAGTTTGACTCTTCAAACGCAGGTCTGAAACCCAACTTTGAAGCACATCCTTATACCCAACTTGGAAACTCCCAAACTAGCTTGAAACCTTAACCCTCCCGGACTTGAAAGTCTTCTCAGAAAGGAAGAGAAAAGCTGTGCATTTATTTGGGTATGCATTCGGCCAGCTGATTTCATTGGTTGACATTAGCTTTTTAAAAATCGACAAAGATTTCCAACATGAGAAAGATGACATTCAACCCCCCACACCTCCCCCCACCAAAAAAATCTGTCACATGTTCCTTATTATTGTCTGTTTTAAAGGTAACTTCTAAAGGAAAAAAATGTAAAACCATTAAAAGTGCTGCCTGTAATTCATTGTAGCATGAAGGGATCAAAAAATAAGTTCTTCTATTCATATATACAGTCATACCTTGGTTTTCGGCCATAATCAGTTCCAGAAGGCTGTTCGAAAAGTGATTTGTTCGAAATCCGAAACTATTTTATTTGCCCATGATTAGGGGCTAATACACAATGCAGAAATAAAAAATAAAAAATAAAAAAACAGTCAGATTTGCGTAAATCACAACAAACACGTCTACTCACAATGAACGCTACATGAGGAAGTGTCACGTCCTCATGTAAAGAAGCCGAGAGGAGTTGAGTGGTGTATTCGGGTTTGCTCAGTTTGATTGAAAACCGGTTTTCGGTCGTAATCCGAAGTGTAAAAATCTCACATTTTCTTGTCAAAATCCGATTTGGTCGATAACAGAGAAAACCCTAAACCAATTAAATTTCTACTTTTATTCAATTTGACTCTTCAAACGCAGGTCTGAAACCCAACTGTGAAGCACATCCTAATATCCAACTTGGAAACTCCTAAACTAGCTTGAAACCTAAACCTTGACTTGAAAGTCTTCTCAGAAAGGAAGAGAAAAGCTGTGCATGTATTAGGGTATTTATTCGGCCAGCTGATTTAATTGGTTGATATTAGCTTTTTTATAATCGACAAAGATTTCCAACATGAGAAAGATGACATTCAACCCCCCCACCCCTCAAAAAATGTCACATGTTGCTTATTTTTGTCTGTTTTTAAGGTGACTTCTAAAGGGAAAATTGTAAAACCATTAAACATGCTGCCTGTAATTCATTGTAGCATTAAGGGATCAAAAAATAAGTTCTTCTATTCATATATACAGTCATACCTCAGTTTTCGATCATAATCCGTTCCAGAAGGCTGTTCGAAAAGCGATTTGTTCAAAATCCGAAACTATTTTATTTGCCCATGATTAGGGGCTAATACACTGCAGAAATAACAAAAAAACAGTCAGATTTGCGTAAATCACAACAAACACGTCTACTCACAATGAACGCTACACGAGGAAGCGTCACTTCCTCATGTAAGGAAGGTGAGAGGAGTCGAGTGGTGTATTCGGGTTTGCTCAGTTTGATCGAAAACTGGTTTCCGGTCGTAATCCGAAGCGTAAAAATCTCGAATTTTCTGGTCAAAATCCGATTTGGTCAATAAAAGAAACTTTTGAAAACCGAGGTTTGACTATCATATTTACATTGCACCTTTCTGATCTATGAATTTTTGTACTAAGTGCTTGATATAAACCAGTCAAAAACAACAGTTACTTACATAAACAAGGGCCTTGTTTTTCTCAGCGTCCTGAAAGAGGTTAAAAACGTTCTCCATGTCCGTCTTCTTGAGGACCAGATAGTGCGAATCTACCAAGAGGGAGGGCAGAACATTCCAATTACAATCATTAATTATATTATAGTATACATGGACTGTAGTCTGTGATATAAAAATCCCTATAGAGTGAGAAATGAAGTAAATGATCGCAAAGAATCCCAAGCACAGGTAGCGAGTGCCGAGCTTGCATGTCAAGGTGCGGCGCGGCACCTACATCGAGTGCTGATGAGGTTGTGCGCTCGCTCGCGGGTCTCGCTTTTCTCGTCATCCGTACGAGGAGGCGGCGGCGGCGCTGAAGGAGAAGCGGCCGCTGGGGTCTGCGGCCACGCTTTGTCACACAGGGTTTGGATGTACCCCGCCATCTGCTCCTCGCTCGGGTTCATCTTGTTCAAGAAGGAATTCACTTTCCTGCACAGACCAACAGCGTCTGCGTCAACAAAACGGCGGGATGCAACCGGCAGGAAAGTGGAGACTACACTCACTTTTTCAAAATGGGCATGACGGGTTTCAAAATGGCGTCAAATATGTTAATGAGAATGGAGTTTCCTATGAAGACAACAACAGGGTTAGTGAAAAGAGTGACGCCCTGAGTGCAAGTATCTTGTTGCGCCACAGCATGCTGAGCAGCACTGATCTCGACTGGCTCTAGATAGAACGCAATCAAAAGCAAAAAAAAAAAAGGCAGAGAAGGTCCCCTACTAAATGGCAGTAAATTGGTGGTTCCCACAGACCGGAGAGAATACTGTCTATTTATGTAGGTATTGTAGTATACTCTGTTTGTACGTGTTGCTGTTCCTTGTGTGTTAAAGTAGCAGTTATTTCAAGGTTTACAATTACCGTAGTCGTGCCCGGGAGCACCAGGTAGCCATCAAGGATCATCGTCTTTGCATTTTAGGACTAAACACGAAAGGCGACACCTCTTGGTGGTTTACCACAACATGACACAAGCCACAAAGGCTCAGCACAAGTCGTCATCGCAATTAAGTCAACGCAAACTTTCTTTTGACAGCACAGCGTGAGGTTGTTTGAGCGGCCACGCTTTGTCACACAGGGTTTGGATGTACCCCGCCATCTGCTCCTCGCTCGGGTTCATCTTGTTCAAGAAGGAGTTGACTTTCCTGCACAGACCAACAGCGTCTGCGTCAACAAAACGGCGGGATGCAACCGGCAGGAAGTGGAGACTACACTCACTTTTTCAAAATGGGCATGACGGGTTTCAAAATGGCGTCAAATATGTTAATGAGAATGGAGTTTCCTATGAAGACAACAACAGGGTTAGTGAAAAGAGTGACGCCCTGAGTGCAAGTATCTTGTTGCGCCACAGCATGCTGAGCAGCACTGATCTCGACTGGCTCTAGATAGAACGCAATCAAAAGCAAAAAAAAAAAGGCAGAGAAGGTCCCCTACTAAATGGCAGTAAATTGGTGGTTCCCACAGACCGGAGAGAATACTGTCTATTTATGTAGGTATTGTAGTATACTCTGTTTGTACGTGTTGCTGTTCCTTGTGTGTTAAAGTAGCAGTTATTTCAAGGTTTACAATTACCGTAGTCGTGCCCGGGAGCACCAGGTAGCCATCAAGGATCATCGTCTTTGCATTTTAGGACTAAACACGAAAGGCGACACCTCTTGGTGGTTTACCACAACATGACACAAGCCACAAAGGCTCAGCACAAGTCGTCATCGCAATTAAGTCAACGCAAACTTTCTTTTGACAGCACAGCGTGAGGTTGTTTGACTTCCAACTGTCGCTTGTCGCCAGAGGCCAACAAAACCTTCCACAATCAACATGCTGTGCAAGTCATCTAAAAATAGGTACTAGATGACTAAACGCTTGCAGCGTCTTTGAGATGGAAATGAGCTACAGGAATCACCCGCATATTCACGGTTCATCAAGTTATTTGCTGAACCCCCAATTCGCATTTTTTTAGACGTGCTTCCAACGGTTCGGAAAAGGTCAAATTAAGTTCACCTTTCAAGGTTTTAAAAGCATTTATGTTCCTCCTGAAATTTCACTCCAAGGTTCAATATCTTCAGATTCTTTTGAGTACTCTATTCAAGTGATACGTCTTAAGAGCCAAGCTTTGTATATTGGGGAGGAGACAAGTTTAGCCCGCGTGGTTAGCAGAAGTGAGCCTTATACATGCACGAAAGCCCATTTACGTGCATGTTTACGAAATCAAATCATCTGTAAATCATTTATTTTTAAGGTTAATGTTGTAAAATGCGTTTGAAATAACTGTTTATGTAGAAAAAAAGAATGTAAAAAAAAAATTTGTAGTGTAAAAAAATGTACGACAGGAAACCTAAAAGTCACAACAGCTGCACGTGTGACATCACAAACATGGCCGGTGAGTCTGTGTGTGAGCTTCTGGGTGTGAGTTGTGGCCTGTGGCAGCTCCTTGCTAGCGTTTTCTTTTTGTGTGTGTGTGTGTGTGTGTGTGTGTGTGTGTGTGTGTGTATTTGACTGTTCGTTCCATTCAGTCGTCACTGAAAGAGCATCTGCGACTGACTCCCTGACTTCTGTTGAGCGATAGCATATCTGAACATCGCTTGCGGCACAACTTTTAGCTTGTTTCCAAAAAAAAAAAAAAAAAATTCAATTGGAGATCTTGTAAATGAAAGTGTAACTGGATAAAAAAATAAAAATAGAAGCTGTCAGCTTTTTTTTTTCTTTTAGCTATTGAATAGGCTTTGCTGTTAAAAGGAACAAACCTGAAATTTCTTTGAGCAGATCAAAAATGGCTTTGGTGGCCTCAAGCTGCTCCCAGGTGCCTTGACTCCTGGCCTCATCCCCCTTGGCCGGGACCACCTGCTCCTTCCCTTTGGATTTGTTAGTCCCGCAGGACAACCTGGGGCTTGTCTTCTCTTTCTTAGTCCTTTACAATCAAGACAACAAAAGTCAACGTCAACTCACTTTAGACAGTTCTAACAAAAATCGATAGTTCAAAAAAATTAAAATAAGCACTTTATGGTAAAAAGAGCAGAATAATGGCACAAACAGACATGATTATTTTCATACTTTTTTATGTAACATCGGTTTATAATTGTGCACATGCTAAAGGTGTTGGGTTGCTGTTCGCTGAATCTTTGTGTTGCTATAAACCACAATTAATAAATGAATCCACATGGCATACCAGACTCCATTTATTAATTTATTCCAATTATTCATGGAACTATGTTCCGTATCAACCTTTATGACTGTGTTCAATGGCAAAAGTTGAGTTTAATAGTTTAATACTGTTTTGTGTCCGGGGCTTGTGTGCCGATGTAGAAGCAATTTAATTAAAGAATCCGCTCTCTAATATCATCGACATGCCTGATGTGACGGTGGTTTATTTGTATTCACTGACTGAAGAAAATACTAAACACAGTTTTCTTTATACATTTGCTCAAGACTAACTACACGCTAGATGCATTTCGTTAATGCTATGCTGATTATTTGTGTTGTTACAAAACTACGGTGAATACATCCAACCAGAATAATCAGTATGTGTTCGTTAACTCTGAACCTAAACATTTGAACTACCAAGGGCTTCATACAACCCCCATTTTATTATCTCGGTCGTTTATGTAACACGGTTTATGATTGTGTACATGCTAGATGTGTGGTGTTTGTTCTTTACGGTCGTCTTTAAGTGTTTTGCTGCCATCTTGTGGCATCTATAGGCAATTACAAATACTCTATGCAGCAGGACGGTCATTATTCGCAGATTTTTGCTTTCTTCTTGCACTCTCCTGATTGGTGGAGCAGCTAGTTACAGGTGAGCTAACCTGGCATTGAAGTGCAACCACGACGGGCCATTGGTGGCATCCTCCCCATGAAGGCCTCCTTCGCGGCTGCAGCTTGGCGACGCGTACTCCAACTGGGATGCGTCCTCGTCGCTGTGGTTTTTGAGAGAGGCCAGAGACTCCTGCGATCTGGATCGGGTTAGTCCCCTGAGGATCATTTTAAAGTGCGTTAAGGGATTTTCGGAATCCTCCCCCTTTTCCTGGGCACAGCTTCCAATGGGAGAGTCTGAGTTGAAACATGGGCGCGGCTCCTTTTCGGTTTCCTCGTCGTCTCCCTCGGGCGTCTCACAGGAGGTTATAACGATGGTGGGAAGTGAAACGCTGCCAACGACGCAGCTCGTCTCAGAGGAGCTGGGGAAGTTCTCTGAACCTTCTGCGGATGTGATGATTTCTTTGGAGGCTTCTGTCGGCGGAGTAGAGCTCTGCAAGGAAAATAATCAACTTTGGTTGAAGCGGCAGGGACGAAAACACATCACGACTCATTAAGCGGTTTATATCCTTGATCCAGTTCAAGGTCCATATAGACTGAATGTTTACAAGTCAGTTTTTTCTTTTCACTACTGTGTGACACTTTTGCACACTACTGGTACAGCTCCAAGTTACTGATGAGGCAAAAAACGTGCACTAAGAGACAACTGTCTGCATCTAGTTCTTTAGTGCTCAGATTAAAGCAAAAATTGCTTCCAATATTAGTTATCAAACGTGCTCCTTTTTATGTATTATTTTTTCTCTTAACAGATTGATACTTTATTTTCTGAATTGTATTGGTGTAATTTGCACAGTTTTTAAATAAAAATGTTGACTTTATTGTAGTATTACATAAGAAAATTCTGATATTTCAACGGGAGTGTGTTCACTCTCTACATGTACTGTATATGAATTTACACTTATTAATACACTTAATTATTAATTAATTAATAATAATGATTAATTATCTAAACTGGCTACACACTTATTCTTTATCATTTAAAAAAAAAACTCTTGTTTTCAGTTTTGGTGTATTTTCGATCCAAATTTCTCTAATGGCTCTCAGATGCATCATTTCTACAACATTATCTTATGACTGAGCAAAAGGGATCCGATACAAAAATAAATAGGTCTGCATTTTTATGAGGATGATTGTATCTTACCCAATATTAATAACAATCTCGAAAATACAATGTCTGGGCATCATAGCTGGAGTTTAAAACATTTTTACTTCAGCAGTAGAGTGCTGTTTACCCCACAGCCCACTAAATAAAATATGCAAACACATTGCAGACTGCGTATCCCCTACAGACACCACTAAAAATGACAGTTTATTTGCCTTTTTTTTTTTTTTGCACTCAATTTCCTTCAGTGCTTCTCCATTGTGTGCATGCAATGCGGCATATAACAGAGACAATCCAACCAATTGCTATAAAAGCGCTGCCTATGCATGAGTAGCTCTTTAGATTACTTTGATGCAGCCTATTCCTGAGCAAGACACTTTCTTCAGAACAAATTGAAAAGTGTCTGTCATTCAACCGCGGGTCATTTGAGTAAGGCGGTCGGTGTAAAACAATCAACATAAGAATGACAAAACAAGAGCTGCATCAGAAATGTGGCTTTTGCAAAGATAATGCTCACCACGTTTGAGTGGTATTGCCAGGGAGATTTTTTTTTTTACCTTATAAAGGCAGATTATGGAGCACTCTCATATTGGATTTGATGAGATCATGCAGGCCAGGATACAGCATTTCCCCATTACATCGTAAACTGTTAATATTACGTACGAATATTTTGGACATACGAAGACTACAACGCAAGTTAAAAGAGCGAGACAAAGAGAAGAGACAACAGGCGCGAAGGAACACTTAGAGTGTGTTTGAATATTTAACAAGGTGTGCGGGGACTGTAGAACAAAAAAACATACAAAAAATAAACTTTAGTTCTGTATTATTTTCCACCTATAGCAGGTAGGTTTGGAAGGTATCACCCACAATAAACTGTGTTTCAATGCACTGTATATGTAAAACAATTCACTTATTGTGATTTAAAAAGAAAAAAAAAACAATTTGTTCAATTAAGTTTGGTAGCGAAAGGGTTCAAATACAGAAAAAAAGATCTAAAATGCTCTATAGAGTGAAAAAAAAAACATCCACTAATCGTTTTTTTTTTTCCCATGTATGTACATTCCACAAAAGGTAGCCATAGGATAGTGCAGCCCATTCGATGAGGGCGAGTGTTGTCATGAAATACCTAAAATGAACTACGTTACCTCTTCGTCCTCTTGTCCAGGTGTCAAGAAGTAAGCCAACCCGCTCAACAGGCCCCACACGCCTCCGTAATGCTGCTCTTCATTGAGCAGCTTGTCCAGTGGACACAGAAACTGGAACACCGGTTGCGTGTGTCCAATTAGCGTGTCACAAATTAATTCCTGGCAAGGCAAACAAGACGCTCAGGAAAGAGTAAAACATCCAATTAGCTTCTTGTGTCCGTGGCTGTGTTTCTTCTTCTTCTTTTTTTTTTTTTTTTGTTTTACCTGAAGGAAGTGCTCCACGGAAACTTTTGCTGCTTCTTTAGCCTCGTCATTGACCTCAAGCTCATTGACCTCCAAGATCATGGGCAAGCTGGTGGAGTCCTGAGGAAAAAAAAAAACAAAAAACAAACACACACACACACACACACACACACACACACACACACACACACACACACACACACACACACACACCTCTGTCAGTGGAATGCACAGACGCAGTTGGTAAGTGCGGTGACTGATCACCTCCAACAGCCTCTTAAAATATCCATATCCACCTTTATGTTCTCTTTGTGGCAAGCTTCTTCTTCCTTGACAATCATGTTATGTTTTTCTGGTTCAATAAAATATAATACAATACAGTATATTGTATAAGTCTGCTCATAGTCTGATACAGGGTTGCAGTTTCTCCCTTGTAGCCTGTCGGACACACACTGGTGCTCAATCGCTTGGTAAAAAGAATTGCTAAGAGTATTTTTTTTTCCAGGATGATTCACTTCAGTCATGTTGCTTCATGTGGGGTGGGCCTAAGATTCCACTAAAGAACCTTGCAGTAAAGCCCTGGCTAATAGGAAAGCAGTACTTGGCATCAAGGAGGTATATATCTTGAAGTGGTATGTCTCTTTAAGAAGAAAATAATCTCACGCACTTTTTATGAAGACACCTGAGAGTATTTTTAAATTGTGTGTGTGTGTGTGTGTGTGTGTGTGGGGGGGGGGGCACAAGATTTTCTCTAACTGCTCCTTTTCAAACAGTTTTACATGCACAATGAAGTCTGATTCAAATGACAGTCTTCAAGAAAGAGATCTGATTGGCATTCAAAGTGGTATGTGGGGAAATCCAATTTACCTGCCACCTGTTTCTGAAATAAATGACATCTGTGTATTTCTTCTTGATGTCCCACTGGAAGTTTTCAGGGCTGTCCCTCTCCTCCAGGTGAACTGTGAAGATTAGCTCCTCATTTTCCCACCCAGCCTGAAACAGAGACAGAAAGGGGAAAAATATGTACACCTACTCAAGCCGAGCTTCCAAGGACAAGCATTCGCATACTCTCTGCTGACAAATAACAGGCCCCGCAGGACATTCCAGACTGTCAGCGATATTTAGAACTCACATGAGGGATGCTGACAGCCCAGCGGCCGACGCGCCACATTTCATAAGACAGCTTGAATTCCATCATGTCCTCTTGGACGCTTGTCAGGTAGTTCTCCAGATCGCTGTCCTCCTAATGGGGTTTGGCCACAAATCAACAATGAGTCGTCCTAGTTTGACTTCCGATCACACTATATTGTGTCTTGCATCCGTGTTTGACATCCTTTATTGAGCCAAGACGTGCAATTTTTACCAAACAAAAATGTCCCTACTTGCCAGAAAGGGATTTTTTTTTTTTTTTTGTGAACACCTTAAAAAATCCAGTCTATAGAAATCCCAATCTAGTGATTTAGGGAGTGGGTAATGATGGGGAAGCCTCACCCGGTCGGAGTCGTGCTGGCTGTGCACGGAGCCCTCCCGGCTGCTGGCCTCGTCCTCGTTGGCCGCGTCTCCCTGGGCCGCTATGATCCTCATCACCAGCTCCCGCTCCAGCTTTTTCATCTTTTTCTTCTTGGCCTTCTTGGTCTTCATCTTGTCCACAAATTTTGACCAGCCCGCCTTGAATTTGTTGCCTGACAGAACCAGATTAGAAAACATGTAGACAGATGTGATGCGAGAGGAAAAAAAAAAACAGAAGCAGCTCCTGTACTTTTATTATTGACATTATATTGACATAATTTCTACCATGACTTTTGAATGAAGCAACAGCAACAAACGTGTTCCAATGAATAATAAGTTTGCAGTAAGATGCCGGATAAACAACCCAACTTGCTCATGATGTGTGGACAAATACAGCTCATTAGAGCGCTTGTTTGTCCACATTATGTAAACTCGGGCTGGTGTTGCATAAATATGTACAAGGCTCATTACGAGCGTATCATTATTTGCTTTATTTCACTCGTCGATGCAGTTTGCGGCGCGCTGGCGTGACGACAGCGAATAAATGAGTTGACATTAGCTGCTTGGACAAACAATGGAGAAACTAATTAAAGCATGAAGGGTCCCGGTTAGTACAAACATGTCACAAATAAAGACGACACCACACGGCTACTGATTAAACCAGTCCTACGTTCACAATCCGAATCGTAATAATGATCCCATCTGCTCTCCCTGATGTCGCCGCCATCTTCCCATTTGAAAACAACCCTTCAATGAAATGTGCTTTTCCTCAAGGTTGGAATGAGAATAAAATTCAACCTTGTCCCGACTTGCCTCATTCTCATCCAACTATGACAGGTACACTGATTTGTAGCTCAATTCAAATGTGTTTAAATTGGCTTTGGAACCCAAGAAGTGGTCCGGTTAGAAGACTTTGAGAGGAGTTCTTGTCCTTGTAGATGTTTAGATCAGTGATTCGCAACCGCAGTAATGTACCGCTGAGAGATTAGCCAATTGCATGAGGCAGATGATAACTGCCTGTTCATGTGTATATATGAGTTCACCTAAGGAGAAAATAAACAGACGCTTCTTCGTAAAGAAGCCATCAGGTTGCAGCTGAACCGTGTCGCTCATTATTCTCAAAGTGCGAGTTTCGTCTCGTATATTAAAGGTCTTTATGTCCTCAGGGTTGCCACTTTTACCATTCATCACTAGAAATAATAACAGAATACTAGGAAAGGGACGTTTAGTAGGCTCGGCACAATACAGTCTGTACAATACGCCCTTATGGGCCGCGGTTTATCAGTTTTCATATTGAGATGATGTGTGCGCGTACCTGTAGTCACATTCGTAACTGCATCAGGCTTCAAAGTCAAATGTAAAACTAGCAATACGAACATAGGGTTTGAGAGACGCAACTTTAAAAGCATGGCTACATTGAAATTTCTGGGCTGGACTAATGTTGGCTTTACCGTCGAATGTAAGGACGAAGAGAGTGAAAACTGTTGACATACATTTTACTGGGTTGCTCATTGTTCCGTGTTCTGTACGTCAAGGGGAAAACACGACTTATGCCCAAACCTGTGTTCGCATTCTGATGCAACATTTGCGACACTATCCAGTGGTAGCATTTATTGCTCAAGATTTGCAGCCCTTTTCTGGGTTTGAAGATTTGTGCTTTGCCCACTTCCTGAAAGTGTACTTTAAATTCGGCGTGATTGATCGCGCCTGCAGAGTGGGTTGCTGGTATGACCAATTGACAGTGAAACAGAAATAAGTTAGTGTATTGTTCGGTACACGAAAAAAAAATCCATTTTTGTTGACAAGTTAAAAAATAAAATAAAAAAATGGAGGTAATTTTGAGAGTGATGTTTTTGCTAAAAACATTGACCCAAATGTACAGAACCATGGCCCAAAAAACTGTGACAAAGAGTACCGCGTGTTAGTTGTATCGTCCAGCCCAACAGAATACATGAAGAGATACAAACAATAAATTGGCTTCAACAACTGGGTGCTTTCATGAAGCCATTTCACTCCATCTAAGCATAACCACTGCTGGAATTTGATTAATTTTATCGAAGAAAGAAAGAAAAAAAAAAAGGATTTCAATGGAGCGCAAGATGCAAAATCCTTTTCAATCTGCTTTAGCTCTTTTTGCAATATTCTGTTGATAACTGCCAGTCTTCGCTGGGAGGATGCAATTAAAGCCAACAGAAGCTTCATTAAATTCCATCCAGCCGCTTGCCAACAGGACTTCAAGTGCAGGATTGCCTTCGCAATAAACAACACAGGCAGTGAGAAGAAACGCACGCTTCTGTGCTTTGTCACAAAACATTAGCGCTTGTAGCGCGGGTACAAAAAGAGCAACGGAACACAACCCAAACACAACCCGTCTCAACCACAGATCGTCTGCTCCAGATAGAGACAAGCAAGTCACCGCCAAACACAACAGGAAAGTCTTCAATTATTCATTAACAACTAAAAATATTGTTTTTCGCGTCTGTCGATGTGAATACCCGTTCATATTTCAAAATGGATGGAGCACAAACGACACACTAAGAACACTAGAATAAGGTCTAATACTTTTTCGGACCAGTTCCTCATATATTCAATTCAAGTAAACCTAGATCAAAATGGAAAATGCAGTTTGGCCCGAAATTATGTATGAAGGCTGCTGGACTGATATGTTGTGGAAATTTTGGGGGGAATTTGAGAAGTGAAGTTGGAAGGGCTTGAATTGGTCAAGAAAAATTGAATGATTGACAGTAAGTGCCAAAAAAAATCTGGTCATTTGGGAATTCTGGGAAAAAGAGGCAGAGAAGGTCCCTACTAAATTGCAGTAACAATCATCGTTGCCACAGAGCAGAGAGAATATGTGTCCGCGAGTCTTGATGTCAGCCATGTTTGTATGCTCTGCTGCTCTGCGAGTGTGCTCCGGTATCAGTTGTTTGAAGGTTTATAATTACTAGGACCAAGTAATGTCTATGCGAATGTCCATAAGAATTTCAGTTAGCGAGAAAATTTCATTTGATAAAATTAAGGTTTAGCTCAACATTTTGAAGTTTTAATTCACAACTTTTACTTTGATTTTTTTTTTAATGGGCGTTTTGTGTCAGTTTTTCAGTAATCTACAGCTGGAAGTGACAAACAACTTGAAGCAAGCCTGCCCGGCCTCTTATTTGGACGTGTAAAATGATGCTCCAGAGTTCAAACAGACCTTTGGCTTTGCCCTTAATCCTGGTGCTGGTGGATACTTCCACTCCCTCCAAGTTCCTATAAAAGCAGAGACAAGGCAGTCAGGATGCCCACATGCACGCACGCATGCCGACAGATGATAATGATTCAAGCTGTGTGTCGCGTGACAGTGGCAACTCACACTTGAGCGGTGTCGTCCTCCTGCGAAGCCAGAGAGATTTGGTCTGGGTCAGAAGCGCATAGCTCTTCTGTCGAACCTTTAGTTGAGACGCTGTCAAGCTGGCTCACCACCAGCTGGTTCAGGTTGTCAGGGTCAGACAGCCATGTCACCAACAGGCCCAAACCTGAGGATGGAAGCGGGGGAGAAAAAGCAAAAACACTCACTCACTAACACTTGATCGGGTACACAAGCACCCTCCGATGAGCAGCAATTCAACAGAAAATAAGAGAGAGAAAAGAAATTTAACTACCAAGTGAACGCGAAATCGCAGTCCGTTATATCACCGATTTTAAGGCAATGGCTTTTAAGGGTTTCTCAAGTATGAAGTCACAGATGTTTGAAGGTTCATAATCGCTAACATCTATGCGAATTTCATTTAACCCACCTATGGTATTTCGCCTTATATGGTTGAACATGTTATTTAAAAACATTTCAATAAAACTTCAGTTCATATAAATGTGTTACGTTTTCTTCGGTTTCATAGGTCAGTTTTAGTGGAGTGACAAATATACAGCCTGAAGCAAGCATATGGTGCCGCTTACTCGGAGGGCTGCGAGCGAGTCTTCTTTTCCTTTCCCAAAAGTGATGTGATACAATAGCGGCCAGAAAGTTACTTTGTTTGTTGCCACATTGAACAACTATCTGCGAGGATGCACGTCAAAACAAAACAAAAAGTTCTGAGCAATAAACATACAATTAAAAACGATTAATCAGCCAGACGTAATGAACAGATTTAATGTGTCTTTTGTCGATAAGAGTTTAAAACAAATGCAGTTCTTTTTGAGTCACCAGTTCTTCTGATTGCAATGTATCATTTATGCACGGAAGAAATGAGTCAGATGTGAGCGAAGACATTTTTTTGTTGAACACAACTCAAAGACTCGATCTATAAACAAATTATAGCCTCCTAATGTATTGTACAGTTGAAAATAAGTGGCACTTTTTTTTGTGTGCCTCCGATCAGTCAAAGTCCGCACATAAGTCTTTTGGCTAATTACAACTGATATAAACAGCACTTAATGTTGGAGAAAATTGCCGTACGATATTGCCAACTCAATTATACGGCATATGAATAAAATGTTTCATCAATACTTCTTTGGGTCCAAGCCAACAGAAATAGAAAGAGCTTGCACATGGGCGATAATTCTTCAATTAGAGTCATAAAAGGCATTCATTGTAAACGCGGCGCAATAGCAAAAACCTGCAAAGATGAAAAGATTTTATGTAGTTGCTTTAAAAGACAAAGAAGCCCAAAAGGGAGATTATAAATCTGTGAATACAGACTCTCCTTTTAATATGATTTTGGGGCCTTTTTTTAAGATCGTTAAAAAAATATCCACTGACAAAGAATTACACGATAGTATATTATATATAGAGAGAGCTCTGCCAAGGTGGAACAAAAAAGGGGTAGGAGAAACAAAAATATTTCATAATCGTGCAGGGAAAATGTGGAATTCACATATGTATTGAAGAGACAATTTTGGAGTACATAAACTCACTCTCTGCCGCACTGTGGACATTTGTCAACAGGCTATCAACCACTTATTGCCATCAAGGAATATCTTTGTCAAGTACGTTGTTCTGATGGGTAGGCGTGCAAGTGGGTATCGCCCAACTTGTCTGCAAAATTCGGGTTTGTAAACCACTTAAATGACAAACAGATCACTGAAGATAGCGCTGTTGCATCGCTTTGGAGTTGAGATCAGCAAAGCTTTTGAGTAGAAGGACAAGATCAGGTGGTGAATATCGACTTTTCACGTCAATTACCTGGGAGAGAAATGCCAACATGATGGAAGTCCAACGCTGTGAGTGTTTAGAGAGGCAGAGCGCGCTCCCCTCTTATTAGTTTGCCTTTCAGAGCTGTTGAGCTTTTATCGTTATCATTATTCTCATTCAGAGTTTCTTTCATGTACAATTCACCGAAGGTACTGGCAAAGAATGGCAATCTGGAGGGCCGAGAGAAGCATTTTAAAACGGTACGCGAGAGCTACGATCGTGAACGCGCAGCAAAAGTACCTCCCATGCCTCCTCGTCAGGTCTCGACAAAGGTAAGCAGTGATTTCCTTTTCACAAACTCACGTGTCTAATTTATTTTTCTGTTTCGTTCACCTTAGGGGCCGTTATGGCTGTTGCTCCATTATGGCATGCGTGTGTAAGTGCTTCCTGAAATGCTTCCTTACCCTTTAAAGCAACAATCTCACTTAGGGCACAGCGGGCCATTTGCTGGCACCACAGGTGTTCAGGCAGCAGGTTCCGTACCAGAGCGTCCGAGAGCTCACGGAGCAACGCCATCTCCTCGGTGCGGCAGCTCAACAAAGGCTCTCTGAAAAGATAAACAAGAGCACAGGGTGAAAACATGGCGGGATTTATAAGTGGCCTTCAATGCTATTCATCCCTACGGGGGTGAAAAATCACGTGCGCTAAATCGTCAAGGTGCCACTTTTTAAACCTTTTTTCGCCGGAAAAAAAGCCATCACTGCAGGTAAAATCCAATAAAGCGCGGTAAATTATTCATGGACGATAAAACATCCGGAGGTATTTATAGGCACGTTATTGAGAGCAAAGAGCAGCTGAGACAGCAATAATTGAAGGTGTTTTTTTTTTTTTTTAACTAAAGTAATGCACAGCACAGCCTCCAGCACGACAAGCTCGCTTGAATTTTAATATGCTGGGATTTGGAGCACATTTCTTGATTGAGCAGTGTTTCCATGGCACTTATTTTACATTAGAGAAATTTTACAGTACCAAATAAAAATGTCAAACTGTACTCATTCTAGATACAGTCACGTTTTTTGTGTGATAATTTTTCTGAAAAAAAAAAATAAATAATCCCCACAAAAATCTTTTGTGGCCCAAAAACCTATTGTTTAATACCATGACGAGCAGAAAGTTCAGTAAATAACTTTGTGAATGCTCTTTTCTTGTTCTGTGGTGTGCCTTGCGTTGAGAGTTTTCTAATGTAAAATATGATCCTTGGCTCGATAATGTTTGGAAAACACCGCGTTCATGACCCCTGATGACCTTGTGTGGGTACGCTTAAAACCCCAGCAAAATTCGAAATGCGAGGTTCTGTTCACCTGTCAGGTTGCTTGGCGTCGTGCAAGTGCTGCGTAAGAATGCGAATGGAGCCCACCACCGTTTGGCACACATCCAAGTCCCGCGTGAGCTGGATAATGCTGTCGATGACATAGTCAAACTCCTCGCCCAGCGCCCGGCGCAACGGCTGCCGCTCACACGGCTCGGGAACGTCATACCACGGCAACACCAGTCGCGCGTAGGCACAGTGGAACACTGCGGAGATCAAAGTTAGAATAGTTTGGGAATTTTCATGATCGTTTGTTTTTATTTCATTTTGATGTTTTTTAGTTAGTTTTAATTACTTTTCTGAACAGGTTCGTTAGTTTTTATTCATTTTAGCTTTATTCAAAAATGCTTCGTTTTTGGTCCTGTTCTTATTATTTATTTAATTATGTATTTATTTAGAAAATTTTGTGTACTTCTTGTGTCAAAGAGTGACAAAAGCTGGAAAGCCATTCCAAAACACGCAATATGCAAACACAGAGGAGAAACATCATTTGGTGGCGCTTTTTTATTTGCGGCCACTAAATGACGTCATTTCGACTCGACACACAGGAAAAAGATCACAACTCCCAGGCGGCTGTTCCACCTTGCTCCTTCCCACGAACGACCGAGCTCTAATGCCAAAATAAATATATTTTAAATCAACCCCTGAGGCACGTGTATTAAATTAATTGCCAAATATGAAACTAAAGGACATTGAACATAGTCGTGTAAACGTAAAAAGTAGTTTCAGTTCATTTTTAAGAGTTGTTTGAAGCCTCGCCATTGCGGTCACTGAGCTTAGCGGGTCATTGGCAGGTTGCAACAGAGATAGAGAGACTGGAAGAGTCACACAGAGCCATAAGTGCACCAAAGTGGCAACCAGTCCAGTAGACAATTAAAATACTCATCTAGATTCTGATACCAGTACTTGCTTCCAAGATCCTTTCAACAAGTGCACAATATTGTGTATCCCGAATATGATTAATTTTCAGAATGAAACCCAAAAAAAATGCATCCTAGATGTCTCTCAACACAAAAATGGATGGATGAAACTAAAGTTGAGTTTGTTAACATTTCCCTGTAAATCCCACCCGTCAGGAGTGAACCGACCTCGGTCTTGGTGACACACACACACACACACACACACACACAACGTGTGGACAAATACATCATGAGCACAAAAGAAAAAAAAAAAACAAATTTACAAGTGTTATTGTTTTACGAGTACACTCATCAGGGTTACAAGTGCCATTACTTCCCACTCACAGTTACGACATAGTCTGCGGCCGAGTCATGAAGAGACATTTATTAAAGGCAGCGAAAACACACGCTGGTGAAGCATGCAAAGCAGGCATGTTACTTCCCGTTCAGTCTTATCTAAGAATGGGATCCATCTTTTTGGTAGGTGGGGTTTGCCACTTTTTTTTCTTGCCTGGACGCCCCTCCTCAGTGGAGGTAACATGACCTCCTTAAAGTGTGTCAAGTCACAACACAACACTGCATTTGCTGGCATAACACACCTAGAAGGGAACCAATGCGTTGTGACAGCACGGATTTGATTTTAAAAATGTATTTGTTAAAACAATGGTTACCAACCAGTGAGCCAACAAACGTGAGTAAACGGACACGAGATGGTCATTATTCTGTATACCGGTACATGCTTTTTGTGAGATTTTTTTTCCCCAATATGAAATATTTAACAAAGCTCAATTAAGTTTGGAAATAACTGTATGAAAACACCCACCATGCTGCAGGGATCTTTTGACATGAGGATAGCGGCGCCCCAGAGAGCCCCCGGCGTCGTCATCGTTACCTTCTGCAGTTAAGTCGCTACTCAAGCGTTCATCAAGAGTCTCCTGGGTGTGAGAGATAAATTAAAGATCGAAGCTAAAACTTAACACCGTAATGCAAACATCAATCAACTCATAAATGAAGCTCTTACATAAATTATTTAGAAAAGATTATTTTAGTTGTTCATGATTGTGATTTTAATAGTCTTTTATGTAGTTTCTATACTTTGTTACGGCTGTAGTTGCTAAGCGTTCCATCAGGTTTTAAACATGTACTTCTACTCAAGTACAGGGAGAGTACACCTCTGTATCTCCTTAACTCAAGTAATTGTATTTCTTTAATTTTCTCCACAATTAAGTCTAACCGTCAATTACAACTCGCAGTGTTTGTTGGTTCACCTGGAGAGGGTCGTCGTCGGTTTGCGTGCTGCTCTCCCGGCCGCTGTTGGCCAGCAAAAGCGGCGCAGAAAGGCAAAAAAAGAAGAAGCAGACAAAATATTGAGCCAGAGTTCGACCCGACTCGGTCAAGTACCAAAGAAGGCCCAGCGTCACCGCGATGGACACGCGCCATCCAAACATCTTTTCCTCGTCCTTTTCCTCCTCACCACTACCTCGCTCGGACCCAAGTGCCAACATGGAGCGGAATCCGGGCCGCTCGGGCCGGCAGCATCGCGAAAACAGGTGCCGAAGAAATGACGTTGGCGAAACCAAGTCGGAAAACACAAATGAAAGTGGCAGAGAAGCAGCAAAGTTTGGCGAACAGTCTACTTGAACGCCGCGCGGTGATTGGCTAAACCAGGCCCGCGTGTTACTTCAAGGGGAGGGCGCCTCCTACAGGACGCGTTGTGTCACTACTGAAAATTTAATCAAAGCCTTGGCTAGCGAGCGAGCGAGATAGATAACTCGATTGATAATTTATTTAAAAAAATAGATGTATCCCCGATTACATTAATTGATTAAATAAACACAATAAGATAAACATATTAGATCATATATAAAAAGACATAAGTCTGATTTCTCTGTAGAAGGCATTTTGCCAAATTTCTCACAGTGATAATATTGTGCTTTGAAAATATCCATCTCGAACTCTCCCGATTAATGTCCCTGAGATATCTCACGTACACAGTTTTACACTATTTATCAAAACGATCCTTGAAGCAACAGTCTTGTGTTTTAATGAAAAAAATGTTTAATCGCATAATCTCCAAATTTCCATGAACATGCTGATTTTGTATTTTGGGCTCATAATAATCATTCTTGTTTTCAAGTCCCTTTTCTTCCCAATTCTTTGTCCCTGTGTAGGACAATTCAACCCACGAGTACTGCAGAACGACAAGGGCACAACAGCAGTTGAATAGTGGGGGGGAAAATTACATTAAAATACAGTTGTTCCACCGGTCAACTGAATTGTTTTACTGGGCAAGACAAACGGTACAGGTGGATGTTAAAAAAAAAAACCCACACACACACAGCTGACTATTGTAATACCAGACTTGACCTGTTGGAGGCAGCATGCTGCCACTGGCCATCCAAAATCCTTAATATCATAACTGTTAATGTAGTCTGATTTGATGGTTCAGCATTATTGATGGCAAGGCCCTGGGCAGTTTACATTGGCAACACATAGAAACTGAAATATTATTGGAAAAAAAATCTAAAACATTTACATCCATGCACTGCAAGCTGGGCAGCCAAGAGAAATGCTACCAAATGAAATGAATAGACTGTTGGGAATACTGTACATTCATACAATTAAATGGAACAAATATTAGAATTGTTTGTAGTTAAAATAATTTAGCATATAAATGTAGATGAATTTTCAACCTTTCTTTTTTTTTTCACCGTACTCACCTTTTGCTACAAGGCATGAATGAAACAAATGTCACAGTGTCCCTATGTGGTTTGAGTGAAGTGGAAAGCGATGCGGTCGGGCATGACCCAACCGAGCCCACCCATGACACAACTCGGTCTACCAGCTGATGTTACACAACAAGTGGGAGACTTTTAATAACCCACCATGAGTAAAACATTCACCTTAGCGCGGCTGTAATCCAAATTCATAAGGCCATTGGAGCACTTTTCCGATATCCTTGAAATCAAGGTTAAGGTGTATGTACTAGTACACTCTTTGTCCTCACAAGCAAGACAATTCAGCACACTAGTAGGATATCAAAAAACACTCAAAGCCATTTTATCTATTTTGTTAAGAAAAGATTGTAGATTCTAAAATTGTCCAAGATAACATCGCGTGCCCCTCTTTCATTTGACTCCACTTAGGACTTGTGCAGTGGTGAGCACCTAGGGACCATGTAGAGTGTTCCATTAACCTGCTATATATGTTTTTGGAATGTGGGAAGAAACTAGTGTACCCACAGGCACGGGGAGAACATGCAAACTCCACACAGGAAGGCTGGAGCCGGAATCCAACTCTGGACCTCAGCGCCGTGAGGCGGACGTGCTCAATTGCTAATCAGCTGACCACCCATTCACCCCATGCAAAAAGTGAACTGTTTATAAGCCATTAAGAAGTCAATTTTCTAGAATATTTAAGTCAAAACGCTCTATCTGGATGACATATAAAGTTTGCTGGCAACATGTGACCTCACAAGCCGTCCGAGTAGACATCGTGAATTGCCAAAGCGTCTCCACTAATCCCCGCTAAAATTGTTCAGCAAACCCCGAGGCGGGGAAGCCGGGGGCATCTCATTTAACAGGGGGTGAGCCTGCGGGGTTAATTTGACGTCACCTAATGGGATAGAAACTCTCCCGTGCAACAATCCAAACAACATCCCTGCCTAATTTCAGCAGGTCAAAAGTTACGCCTGAGAAGAGCAATACTAAAAAGTGCTAAAATGAGGCCGTGTCCTCTATTAGTGCGGCACGTAGAGCTCACATTACTCATTTCTATGGTTGAGCTTCGATGTCAGCCTTATTAAGACATTCTTGGAATGTGATATTTATGACATTTCATAAGGATTAAAGTAATGCTTGGCAAAGTATAGCTACGTTCTTTAATTAGGCCCATTGAGCATCCTGGAATGAGTCGAATCATTCATTCATTCATTTTCCGAATCGCTTCATCCTCACTAGGGTCATGGAGTCGAATCATATTTGTCGAATCATTTTTCCCTAAAATTTGAAGGAACCAACAACAGAGCCCTGGGGAACAACCAGAGGACAAGAAGGATATTCAGGATGTTAGACTTTTCACTTGTATAAATAGTACCATGTGCAAATCCGAAAAATACAAGGTGAACGCAATCTGTTCCATTGACGGAAGCTTGGCAGGAGATAAAAGTTCAATTCAAAAGTGTGAAATAATTCACATAGCAGCAAGTAATCCCAACCCTGACACCCGTGACTCTAAATCTGTCAGCGCAAATTCAGACTTCTAGGCAAACTGACAGGTGCAAAAAGTGTCTTGGATGTCGCACACTCTGGCAGCTCAACCTTAACGGCTGATTTTGGGTCACCCCCAAAAACAACGTGGTTATGCAAATGTATTTGTACACTGAGGGGGTTATCAAACATTTACTTGCTGTAATTTGTAAATCAGGTAACCTGTATCTCATGTGACCACTGTAATCCTACAATGAATTTAATTTTCATATATGCCATTGACGGCTAAAAAATGAACAACACCAGGCAGTATGTTCACTCAGTAAGTTGCCTTTATTTCTCTTTTTCAGGCAAAGTTCCTGCATTAAGTGGACGACATTCAGGTGTGGGCCAAAAAACATAAGGCGACAAAACAAAAACATGGGCCAAGAGTGCATTGCAGATTTCAATCCCCCCCTCCCCCCCGGCACAACTAGTAGCCAAATACTAGTTGGTCCCTTATAAATATATTGCAACATGTCAGTCCATCCGAATGTACAAGATATGCGAGAGCGAAAATGAAAACAATTACAGCACTTTCTTGAGCTCGTCATAGAGAACGAGGACAAAGGCGCCGCCCATGCCTCGCAGCACGTTAGACCACGCCCCCTTGAAGAAAGCCTTGCCGCCCTCGTCACGGGCAATCTTCCTCCAGCAGTCGATGGTGCCACTGTACATGATGTCAGCTACAGGGGGTAAAAAATGCAGTCATGACCAATCGAATTAATTTCAGAATGTAATTTCCACAATGAAATGAATTGAAATGAAGTGAAACACCCTTAATCCCTGCCTGCCCCCCCCTCAACCACCACCATTTTTTTTTGTTAGGTGTTTTTAATAAAGAATAATGACTAACAAACTATTAGCCTCTTTGACAAGGGCATCAACTCAACGCTAAAATGTTTCTGAGCATTTCTTCAATATGACTGATATCTGTCTCAAGGTGCATGCGCAAATGCCTGCTTTGTCCTCACAAATAAGACAATTCAGCACAGTAATAGAACGACCAATCATGGCTTTCTATAGCTGAGCCATGATTGGTCGTTACTTGAGCCCAGAGCAACTGTGATGTCATTTTCCATCAAAACGGGTGGACTTTCCTGCTTAATTGATAAGCCACAAATCCAATATTAATCAGAATGCGGTGTTTAGACAAGTGGGGCTGCATAGAACACATTCTTGTCAAGTCTTGTCAAATTTTGGGGATGACTTCCCCTTTAAGAATAGGCTAAGGCACATTACAATAAACAGCGCATTGCTTAAAATCACATTTGTAAGCATACGGTATGTGATGACATTTGCCATCAATCTCGCTGCTGTAAAAATGTGCCTGAACAAAACAGTCGAGTACAACATAGAGAGTGTGTTTGTCACCTCCTTTGCGCCCGGACTGCATCATCATACGACGGCGGACAGTGTCGAACGGGTAGGACACCAGACCTGCCACCGCTGTCACCGACTGAGCGATCATCCAGCTCACCACAATGTGAGTGTTCTTGGGATCAGGGAGCATGCCTGCCAATGTGACACGCACAAGGTTGGAAATGGCAAAGAGAAGATGACAGAACAATGAAGAATAAAGGAACACAAAAATGAGAGAGAAAGAAAAAAGAAAAGCGATGTAGAGAGCAGGGCTGTAGTACTCGAATCTGGACTAGACTGTTTTTTGATGTATTGGACATGACTCGGACTCCTCGACATTTGTCTCGGACTCGGAAAATAATCTTAGCGACTCAACCGAGTCCAACTATGCTTTTATTCCTGCACACACAGTTTAAAAAAAAGCAAAGGGTTCCATGCCATCCAAAAACAGTGTTGAGCATAATGAAATTTCTCAAATTTTATGGTCATGAAAATACTTCCTCTCTCAAGATTTACTCTTGATCTCATCTGGAATAAGACTCCAGCCTTGTGGACTCAAACCTGACTTGGACTAGATAAAGGTGGACTTGACTAGAGCCCCGGTAGAGAGACAGACAGATAAAGAGATAGAGGGAAAGACAGCTACAGATCAATAGAGAGAGAGAGAGAGAGAGAGAGAGAGAGAGAGAGAGAGAGAGAGAGAGAGAGAGAGAGAGACCGCCATAGGGAGACAGATTGGCCACCATTGGGAGAAGGTTTGACAGAAACAGACAGACAGATATATTGAAAGGGACAGACAGACAGACCGAGAGACAGACAGATAAAGAGGCACAGACAGCTTAAGAGACAGAAACAGAAAGAGAGACAAATATAAAGAGACTAATGTCGCCTGACCCTTGGCGGTGTCGTAGACGCCAAAGTAGGCAGCCCTGTAGATGATGATGCCCTGCACGGACACGCTGAAGCCCTGGTACAGGCCCCTGACGCCGTCCGACTTGGTGATCTTGACCAGGCAGTCCCCTAACCCTTTGAACTCACGTTCACCTCCGGCCTTGCCCACATCGGCAGCCAGACGCGTTCTGGCAA